CAAGGATTTTTTTTGGCTGACCCTGTTTTTGACCAAAAAAATCGGACGGGGCCCGGGCCGGAAAAAAAATGCCTTCGCGCCGGGCCGGCCCGCGTCCGGGCCTGGCTGTATCTTCAGGAAAATCGGAAAGAAGAGACAAAATTCTTTAGGTTCAGCAAAAAAAACCGATACGATCGACGAAAGACCCGAAAATCTCGAATTAGTATCATCTACTAGAAGGCGTTCAAGGCAAAGGACTTCTAGAGGGCAAGAGTATCAGGGCCGGTTTCACCCTCCTCGAAAGATAGTTGCAATAGCGAAACCAATTGCCCCCCGCCCCGAATCGAGCCAGCACTCTCATAAGGGTCGATTGTGGTGGTTGTGTGAGCCGAAGGGTGCGGTGAGGGTGGTGGAATGCGTGTGTGTCCACCTGGAGAGATTTCACCCACGCCCCCCGGCCATCCATGCGATTCGTCCCCCTTCTGAAGCGATTTCTATTTGCTTGGCGACCGAATCGAATGAGTCAGGGTGGGCATTGCGCCATAATAGCTGGGACAAGGGTTGGGACTGGTGTCTGGGCCTTTGGTTGTTTTTTTAGTTGATTTTCCTAGAGGCTTTCCTGTACGGTCAGGTAAGGGCTACGCGGGGTGCTTATTTACGTCTAAATCGCTCATTTTTCCTTTTTTTATCGGCATACACGTAGAACGTGGCTGAGCATGCGCTTTAAAGGGGCGAGCAAGGCATGTCTATAAATTTTGTCTTTCAAGCGGGAAGAGCAGGAAAGCGGGAATGTTCACGAAATACGCAACAAAAAAATGGGTTTTCCGGCATCGTCCTTGGACACGGACCAAAAAAACTGGGATAAAAACAGCACGACAAAAGAAGGATCAGCACGAAATAAAATATCATAAGATCAGAAACCACGCAAAATGTACGAAAGAACCTTGAACAAGCTGCTCTGGTTCGTTAGTGGGGGGGGCGCTTGTAAGTTTTTCATGTAAAAAAGGGTGTAAAATCTTGTTAGAATGGCTTCTCTTCCATGATAGAGTGCCTAACATAAGAAAAAGGTTTTATACGACCCCCCCCCCGCTAACGAACCAGCACCGAATTCGAGAACAAGGTTTTAGGCTTATAATGCTTTGGCTGGAGCAATTAAAAACTCGAAAATCCCTATAAATCGTCAATCTAATGCTATAAATAACAAATTAAGGCCCTAACGCTTTTTCGCAAGATCAATGGGCCAACAGGGCCCGGGGCCAAATGAATAACGAGAATCGCGTCGAGGGGTAGGCTAACGTGCGTGGTGTGGGGAGCCCCTCCCGGTTTGGGTCAACGGTGTCGAGCCCGCGTGGATACGTCAAGAGCCAAGGCAGGGAAAAGCGAAAAGGGGGATGAATGCTGGCTAGCGGGATCGGACGATCGGTCCCCCCAGCTTGAACTGTATCGACCCCACGCAGGGACCCACACGCAGAATCGACGCTGCTACGCGCCTGTCAACTAGACGCGTTGCCCCCCGCCGCGTGTAGGTGTGTTCACTTCCGCCTCGAGTCCGGATCGTTGACCTGGCGCGAGTGATGTTTTTGGTGTAGAAAATCGGCGATGTGGATATGTTCGAGTTCAAGAGGAACAGGCGCCCCGGCGAAAGGGGGATTGTAAACATTTTGCTGTGTTTAGTTTTTAAAATTATCTGAAAAAATTCGGAAGAATTTCCACCACTGGGTGAGATTGTCTAGAATCGTGAAAATTAAAACTAAAGAAATTCAGGGTCGGTGAAGGGCCTGAAATTCCAAAACTCAGGATCGTGAAAAGACGAGCTAAAAAATCCTAGAATACATAAAGATCTCAAAACAGCAAATGTCAGAACTGGAAAAATGCAAGCTTACAAACTAGAACTAAATCATCAAAAACAATTAATTCATGAAGAGCTAGAACCGATTAAACATAAATTTCTATGTGTTACAATATTCTAAAGGCCCGATGACATTTTGGAAATTTGGCCTTTTTTGGTGAGGTCAAAACGGGTGATTTTCGACTCATTAGATATCGCCGATAACGAAAATACTAATTGTTTAACTGCCAGTAGACAAGGTCGTAAAAAAGTCGTCGTACAAAATCCAGGAAAGACGTCATTTTGCAAAATTCCTAACCGTAAAGACACTAATCTTCAAAAATCTATTCTAAATTTTCGCGACCCAGCAAAACTGTCAAAATAGCCGATTATTGAATGCGGGGAAGAAGGGTGCGAGTGGGCCATTGTTGACCGGAGCTAAAGGGGGAGTGTCTTTCTTCTGTATCCCGCTTTCTTCTATCAGGAAAACGGTGGGGCCCTAGCCTGGGGTGGGGGCGATTTTGACAAGGTGGCCACGATGAAACAACATCCCTTTGGGCCCTCAGATGGGCCACTTTGCACCCCCCGAACAACCCCCGAATCGGAGGGCCCTTTGTAAATCTCATCCCGTCGACACCATGCCCACAAAAAATGCGGCTCCAGGGAGGCCGCGGGGGATTTTCGGCGCGCCCGAATAAACACGCCAATCACCCAATCAAGGGACGGCTTGACGGGTTTTTAGGGTTTCGGCCGGGAGCTAGGAGCTCGAAAACAATGATTCTAATTGCTGTTTTGTTTAAGTTAATATCTGAATGACGCAGATTTTTAGCCAATTTGGATCAGTAATTTTCGAGAGGGCTTGGGAACTTTTAACGGCGACTAAAAAAAGAAAAAACGACTTTCTTAACTTTCAAAAACAAGCAGCCCTTATAATTCTGGAATGTTCTATCTGAAAGCGTAAAAAAAACAGGGTCGAAACTGTGCCAAGTTTTGTTCGGGTGGCTCGAAATTCTTTTGAAATCGATATACTACTGGGACTTATCGACGGAAATATAACTCTTATCCGCGCACAAACTATCCTTGTTTTTAAATATTATGGGGATTGAATTACAGACATGATCAATTCAAATTAATTTAATTTATCGGCGCAAAGAAGCCCAAAAAGCCGCCGGTATAACGAAATATTTCTAAACGCCCTGACAGAAAACCGAAACGAGCTTCAGCTCGTAAGCTGAAGCTAGCCTACAAGCGACATATTCCAAGAAACGAACACTGCCGGGGTGTTCCGTTTAGAGTGATGAAGCGGAACATCCCAAGGCTCCTCGATACGGCCCGCCATTTCTCGAGGGTGTGCCATCCCCCGCCAGCTTTGTCTTCTTCCTTCTGCGGAATGCGGAATTTGGCGATGCGCCCGTTGCCCATGTTTGTGGTGGACAAACAGCTGACTATCAGCTTGACATCATCGGTATCAGCTATCAGCCATCAGCTTGCTTTGCTTATCAAGCCGCATAAGGTCAAGCGTAAAGGTAGCATACTACTTTTATCGAGTTTGCCGATCCAAAATCTTGATTTTAATCTTGATCTTGTATCATAACAAATAACAAATCATGATCTTGATTTTTCGCTCATTTTTGAAGCCGAATTCCGGTAGACCTTCTATCTTTTTTATACTGCTTTCTCAGCACTAAGCTGTATCAGGCCCCAAATGTAATTAGAGCAGTGCTTCCAAACACCTGCCCGCCAACGATACCTAACGCCCCAAAATTTTCTCTTTCCACGGTCCACTTTCGAAAAACAAATTTTCGCCAAGGAATCCATATGTAGCGTGCCGTTTCTCTACTCCAGATCGGAGCGCTATACCGTGACCGGAAGTGCACCTGCCACCGAAAACGGCCTCGGCAAAATCGCGGGCGGGCAGCGAATAATTTTTCCGATAAATCTATATATTCCTAGTTATGTAACGCAAATATTTTAGTAGTATTTTGATGAAGTTTAGCTATATTACTAGAGCTAAAAATATTTATAAACTTAGCAAACCATTGTGAGGTGTGACATCTCGTTCGAAAATCGGTTATGTTAGGTTGAAAAAAAAATCTATATTTTATCGTATTTTTTCATAAATCTTTGCGCAATTTCCCATTTAGGGAAAATAGAAAAGAATGTAGAAACAGTTCATCTTTTATATTAGAAAAATTGGATCGTAGAGAAAAGGGGCAGTTAGCAAATGTCGCACGGTTCGTACGGTTCGCACCCCTGTTTTTCTAGAAATTAAAACGAAATTTAGTTACCGTAAGCGTATTCTGCGAAAGCACCAAAATGCTGTATTCCCGCTCCTCGACTGTAAGCCGCAACTAATCCCGAAAACGACGACTTTTTTGTAGATGGTTTATAAAAGTTCTGTAGAACAACACAACACTCGTTGTTTTCTCCGATAAACGCCAGCACCCACTCGGCGAGCTGCTCGAGACAAACATGTCGTCTCGTTGCGGCAATTTTCGCAACGTCCCTAACGCTCTTTCTTTCCACGGCGGCCTTTCTAGCACTCTTTTTTTCGCGTTTCGTATCTGCTAGGGCTATAGTGCGGCGCTTTCTTGCTGCGTTTCTCTGTGCTCTCGCCTCTCTGCCCGATTCCTCTGGCCCGTCTGCCCGCTCCGACCAGTTTTGCCTTCTTCTCCGGCCCCGCACACATACACACCCAGCCCCAAGCCGCCCAAACAGCACCCCTCAAATCGATTTCCATTGTCTGAATTTGGCGTTTGCCGTCGCTGATCGGCCACCTCATCGCTTCTGATGGCTACTTTTACACCGAGGTGTAGTGCCCTCGCTTAAAATAACGGTTTTTCTCAGTAAGGATATACGTATAGCGGAGATGTTTAGTATTCCAGATTTGTGGTAGCTAGTTTTTCTTATAGCTGCTGTTTTGATACGTTCAATTCTTACCATCTTATTACCTGTCATCGCCTAATTCTCCTTAGCATGAGCTAGTTTGCGAACTTGCAAAACGAGCAAACCTTTAAGTTTAATTGATACCTTGTGACATTTCCCAATTGTCATATCGGTCGAGCTTTTGTTATATGTTCCTTTTTAAAGATTACGTCGGTTTGCCCTTTCTTGATCTTCGAAATACCTTCTGTTTTCTCTCCTACATTCTCTTAGGAATTTTCCTGATTGCTAAAATAACCTTCATTTCAGAATGGGTGACGGACCGGTGACAATCGCTGATCAAGATCACTTGAGAACGTGGCTGAACAAGGAACTATCGCCTTTGTAGGTTTTTTACTTTATGAAAATTCAAGCCTTACGTTAGGTTCCCGACTTTTTAAGTATTTCTTTTTCAGATGCGAGGCCGAGCTTTCCACCTTGGTCAGCTACATCTTCGCCTTACTGAAGAAACCGAACAAGACTGCCGCGCAGCTCAAGGAATTCTGTGCTGGCCAACTGGAAGTATTCTTGCACAATCGTGAGTTTTTTAGCTGACTTTCAGAACGGATCAAGGGGAATTTAACTTACACTCATTTTTCAGACACGCGCCCCTTCGTTGACAAGCTCTTCACGGTGCTTGACAATGACTCGTACATCCCGAAATCGAAGCCGGCACCTCCGGCCAAACCCGCTGCTGCCCCCAAGCCCACCGAGGTTCCTGCCAAGGCGGCCCCTGCTCCAAAGGCTGGCACCTCTTCCTCGTCGGCCGCCTCCACTTCACACTCCGATCGCCCGCGGCGCGGCAAGGAAAACAAGCGCTCGGAGCCAGAGGAACTCACTCCGCCGCGGAGGGTTCGTGATTTAGTGTTGTACCTTAATCCTGTTTTAGGTGGTTATGTTGCCATCTTCTCCTTCCCCCGAACGTGTCGTGCCGGCGGCGCCTGCTAAAGTGGAAGCGGAAAAGCCGGTGAAGCCTGCCTCGACGTCGGCTGCACCTGCATCTCAGTCGTGAGTTTTTTTACATTGTCTGACCCTTTTGAGATTTTTGAGATTGTGAGTTTAAATAAAAGTTTTAAGCATAAAATTCGCCAAGCTAAAACTCGCTGTTCAGGAAGCCCAAGCCAACTACTTCCGCCGAACCGGCCGCATCCGAATCAGCGGGACGAAGCCTGCGGAAACGTATAAGCGCCCCATCTCCGGTAAATATAGCAAATCTTCGTTGTAAATTCTGTTTATTTTAGGATGAGTCGCGCACCCGCAACCGTTCTCCACCAGCCGGCCAGCGTCGTGATGACCGTCGCACGACGCGTCGTCGCTCGCCCGAAAAGTCGCGGAAACGTTCTCGTTCCCGGTCGCGCTCGCGGAGCAACGAGCGCATGCGCGAGGAGCGGAATCGCCGCAAGCGTTGCCGTGATTATGACCGTACGTTTTATAGCGATAATTTTTTCGCTTTTCGTTTTATTTGTTATTACGAAGCCTCATTTCAGAAAACGGCTTCTGTATGCGCGGCAACAGCTGCCCGTATGACCATGGCCCGGATCCGGTGGTCGTCGATTCGGTGGACGGCTTGAAGCATCTTGGAGACAAGGGACTGAAGATTCCGGTCACCGGCCCGCCACCGAACTTCTCCGTGCCGCCGCCTGGATTTTTGCCGCTCGGACAACAGCCGCCACCTCCTGGAATCGTGGAGGGTAAGCATTTTGGTGTTTTGGAAAAAAAAATGGGATGCCCTAATCTAACGCTTGTATTTTCGAAAGTCGGCCCGGCCGGGCCCTTGATACGAAATACGGAGTTGGGCAAGAGCAACTTTTCGGAACTCTTTTTTTTTTTGCGTCAACTTCGATTTTTACACAGTGTTCGGAAAGTGGTCGAAGTTACGTAACTGGGACCTCCGGGACCTCGGGATAGGTGAAAGGACCTCCGGGTTTCGGTCCGAAGGGTTTTTAGGGTTTTTCAACTCAAAACACAACTCATCACTTGACGCAATGTATTAGAAAAATGTTCGTCTTGTTTTTCTCTATCAGAAACTGCAAAAATGGAGGTTGGTCAATCGTCTAGTTTTTGAGCTAGGATGCCCTTTCCTCAAAAAAGACGAAGTTTTTCGGGTTTTTCGAGTATTACTCCTCAAAACCCTATTTCTCACTTGACGCAATGTATTAGAAAAATGTTCGTCTTGTCTTTCTCTATTAGAAACTGCAAAAAAGGAGGTTGGTCAATCGGCTAGTTTTCGAGATGCTGGGACCTCCGTGTTGAAAAACTGCTATTTTTCCACTATTTCCCACAGAACTTTTCTTACGCCCATTTTTCTGGCTGACAATATATTACGAAAAGATGCAGCATCGAATTCTGCGTCGAATGGTGTATCGCATCTTGCCATGTCCCTTTTCTTTCATTTACTTCCGGGACCTCCAAACTGCCGCCACAACCCATCCGCAACTTCTGCCGTCGCGGTTGGTGCTCTCTTCGGTGCCCTGTCTCTCAAAGCCCCAGGCTTCTCTCGTCCCATTCTTTTCGCTATTCTGTAGCCCTAATCCTACCCTTCCTTTCGGCTATACATCACTTCCCTCCATCTCCGGTTTTTTGGGCCGCAAAACCGGAAAAACTTTCAAAAAGTTATGGTTGGCCTCCATTTTTCCCGTGTTTTTTCGACACCTTTTCCCCTCCAAATATTTTCTCTGGCCACCTATCGCCACCGCCGACCCATCATTCGATAGCTTACTTCCCGTTCTACATTTTGAGATCCTTTCCGGCCCTGCCACACTTCCGGTTCTTCCGGAAAATCGAATGGCAAAGTTATGGCTGGAAACCGGTTACCAAAAAAAACGCGATTTCGCCCCTCAAAACACCGTTTTTTCGGGGGACCTCCGGAATTTTTCCAAAACCAACATTTTTTGGGACCTCCGACTCTCACCCAACCATAACTTTCCTGAACACTGTTTTTACATAATTTTCTCGGCTTTCCTGGAATCGCGGCATAATACTGTCAATTTCAGGCTACAATCCCGACCATCCACAGATCAACATCGACTTTTCGCACCCACCGCCCCCGATTGCCATGCCGGGCGCGGGACAGTGGCGCCAGCAGCCGCAGGTCACCTACATTCCCACCAGCATCGCACAGGTTAGAATCTATTATTGACGTTTTTTTTTGCGGCCTCTTACAAATAATTTTGCTTATTTCGCGGTTTTAAAAAATGATGTTTGTTTCCTCTTACATCCATTTTTTCAGCTGGAGCAACAACAGCAGCAGGCGCAGAACTCAATGGGCGACAACCAAAGCTTCGGCGGTCCGATGCGGCGCGGCCGCGGCTTCTTTGGCGGTCGTGGAGGTCTCCGCGGACGCGGCCGTGGTGGTGCCGGCGGACGATTCCAAGAGCCCGTCTCCACACAGGGCCGCTGCCTCGAAGTGCGCAACATCCCGATCGAGCTCAACACGATCGACAAGCTGAACGCGCACTTTGCCCAATTTGGAAAAATTGCCAATCTGCAGGTTTGTACTTTTCATGTTTTCCCCAAATATCTTCTTGCGTTTAGGTGCAATACCAAGGAGAATCGCAGGCTGCCCTCGTCACCTTCTTCACCAAGTTCGAGGCCAACAACGCCTACAAGTCGCCGGATCCCATCTTCAACAATCGCTTCATCAAGGTCTTCTGGCACAACGACGCCCCGCCCGCAGCTGCCGATTCCGGTTCCGCCGAGGAGAACAAGGTACTTTTTGTTCATATAGAGAATGTCTACATTATTGAAATCCCTTTTGAAAATGTGTTTTTAGCCTGGCGCTGGATCTGCTTCTTCAGCGAAAATCGAAGCCTCCGCTGCAACGCGGTCATCAGTCCAAGCTCCCAAGAAGCCACCGGTACGCAATTTTTGGGTTGATTAGGGTTTATGGTTGTCGCCCAAAAAGTGGTTTTATGGAATGGAATGTGTAAATCAAGGTCAGAAACGAGTTTAGAATTGAAAATTAGGCGGCGGCAGACACTTTTTGGTATTGAAATCGATATTTTAATTTTGCGATCTACAACCATAAACCGGGGTACGGGGGACACCGGTTTATGGTTGTAACTCGAAACTGGGGTTTTGCTATACGAAAAGAAAGAGGATGAGCTGAAACGAATTAAGCTGCAAAAATAATGAAGCGGAAAGTCCGAAAACGGGTAGAACGGAGTCTTAGGAGGTTTGTTCATCACACCCAGTTTTAGCCTAAAAATAAGGCTTCGTGCCACCCGGGGCCTAGTCGCTTCGGATGGGTGCGAGCTCGTACAGGGTTTCGAAATCGGGGCGCCCGAGGAGCGCGTAGCGCCCAGGCGCCCTGATTTCGAAAGAGTGGAGCGGCAGCCCATCCGAAGCGACGGCCCGCCTTGCCTGACAATGCTAGAAGTCCCACCTTTCAAAACCCCCGTTGCCCCTTTTTCCGTCGTTCCGCCTCATTATTTTTGCAGCTTAATTCGTTTCAGCTCATCCTCTTTCTTTTCATATAGCAAAACCCCAGTTTCGAGTTACAACCATAAACCGGTGTCCCCCGTACCCCGGTTTATGGTTGTAGATCGCAAAATTAAAATATCGATTTCAATACTAAAAAGTGTCTGCCGCCGCCTAATTTTCGATTCTAAACTCGTTTCTGACCTTTATTTACACATTCCATTCCATAAAACCACTTTTTAGGCGACAACCATAAACCCTAATTTTCCCCATTTTTTTTTATTTTGGCTTTGCAATTACTTTTCGCGGCAAACTTTATAAACTACTTTTCCAGGTGGCAACCCGTGCCCAGGCCGTGTTCCGCAACGCCGATTTCGACGAGCTGATGCGAAAGAAGGCTGCCGAGAAGCAAGAGCGAACCCAGATGAAGACTCAACTCGCCAAGCTGCAGGCCCTCCAGAAGAGCCAGACCGAGGGCATTGACCGGTATCTGAAGAGCCAGAAGGCGGCCATGGAGCTGGCAAAGAAGCAGACCAAGCCCGACGCCAAGAAGAAGGCGCTGAAGCTGTGCTCCGACCTCAAGAACAAGATCGACATCCTGCGGAAAGAGGTTGGTAGCTGGTTTCGGGCTCTGGTTATCCTTTTTTTTTCAGCGCAACGACAACATTGCTGAGATTGCCTCGTTGAAGGACAAGCTCGCCCCGCAGTCGGCGCCTCTAAAGGAAGAGAATGGTGCTGGAGATGACGGCAAGCTGAAGGAGGAGGAATTGGTAAGTGGATTTTTCAAGCTAGAAATTTCTGTGTGACTTGTAGCGGCTTGGCATACAAAATCGCTTTTTTTCAGGACTACAGCGACGAGCCGATTGCCGGCACTGCCTGATCTGAAGAAGTACAACCTGCGCTGCATGGTCGCCACTTCCACGAGACGACGACCTGCAAAAACTCTCTTTCCGCGTGTACTTGTAGCGTATCGTGTCCTCATTTCCTTTGCTGTTTTGGATTGTTTTTATTGTTGTTTCCTCCCCACAAATTTACTCGTCCCCCCTGTTTATTGTTTGTCGGTGTTACATCATAGTACCCTAGATATGATATGTTCTCCTATTTCCACTCTCCCCTCCCGCTACCAAATGGGCATTTGAACGACAAAAAATAAACTGCAAACTGTTGAAAAGAGCCGTGGTGCCACGAGAAGAGCCGCGATGGCCACTAAAAATACCCCTATTATGCGCTAATTGATGGGCCACCAAAAAAGAGCCAATTTTGGCCACAACACTAAAAGATGCCCGAGCGTGCCCAGCCGGATCGGAGGTTTTCGGGGTTTTGTTGACGTTTTTTTTGGCCGTCCCCGGTCTTGTTTGTCGCTTCTTCTGTTCGGGTAATTCTTAAATTTCAGATTGCGGTGCTACACACTATTCGATGGTCGGGTAACAAATATTTTGCAACGGACACGGGCCACACAATGGATCTCACTGCTGTCATACAGATTTTCTCAGGAAATAAAAGAGTTGTTCGATACGTGATGGCTTGTCTAAAGTGCACACGGAAGGGTTATATACACAGCGCGGACATCTAGAGATTGAACATTGTTGGCGACTTTCTTGCGGCGTTGAGCTTCTTCTCGTGGTAGATGAACAGGATGGCGCCAAGTTGTTTAGCCGGATACAGATGCGAGGTGGAGTAGTTTTGAAGCCTCTCGCTCTCCCTCTGTTTTGGGCAAAGATCGTCAAAGGCTCACTACATGCCCTTCTACCCCAAGATTAGCTGTAATTATAGAGGAGAAAACTGGGTGACTTTCCAAGCTGCATCGTTCTTCAAACACTGGAATTCTTGTTCTGCACTCTTTTGAAAACAATTTCATCTATTGCTGAAAAGCCCATTAAAACCGGCAAAGATGATGAACGACTACGACACCGACTATGACGAATGGCTACAAAAGAAATCTCACTATTACGACCCGCCCGATCTTTCCGTCTATAATATAACTCCCAATTATATACCACATACAATTCACGAATTTGGGAATTTATTAAATTACAACCTCAAGACTTCGGAAGATTCGAATAAAACGTGGCTGGCATTGAGCTTGCTTACGGTAAAAGGGCAATTCTGATGTCTTCAGGCAGATTTTTTTAGCTCGTCTCCGCTAGCGGGCCTACAGTATGCCTAGCCCTCGATTATATCCGAAAATTGCAAAATTCCGGCAAAACTTTGGCGCTGGTCTTATTTTGGGAATACACAGCTAGACTGTTGAAAATTGGGTTGATACTGTTCTACGTAATTCCGTGCATTGCTTGGTAATCTACAGCTTGAAGCTATACCAGATTTTAGCCGTGATTTTTTCGATATTACGTTGAATCTGAATATCGGGTTCTTTCATTTTTGTTTGGGATTTGCGACGCAGTTCGCATTGGTTTTTACGACTATTTTGAGGTGAGCTGGCTTAGGCTTGGGCATATGCTTAGGCTTAGGCTTAGGCGTAGGCATAACCCAAGTTCTCCAACAGTAAGTAAGGTATATTTTATGCATTCACAAACTTTATAAATATATCAAAACTTTTCCGTTTCTTCCAAAAATCCCACCCCTCCGCTCCCGAGTCTCCATTTTTACGTCTTCTCTTGATGCCGATTATCCTGATCCCATTCATCATATTCCTACCGTTTTGCCCCTGGCTTTTCAGCATCTTACCTCCGGGTATTTTCGACAAATTTTACGGTAAAACAAAACATTTTAGAACTCAAATTAATCGCTTATTTTCACCCAATCATGGGTACTTACCTTCATGAACCATTCACGCGTAAGAATCCAAACTTTTTGGTGCATGATATGCTAATCTACTACATCCCTGGATTTTTATGGATCATCACAGTACTTTCCGACGCTTATCTATTCCGAAAAAATTATTACGAAGAGGGCGCCAAGCGAAAATTTGCCATTCTGGTGTGCTATTTAGAATTTTTACAGAATTAAATAATTTCCAGTTCTTCCTAGACCACAACCTCGGCTTCCTCTCATTCGTGGTGAATTTTTGCATAGCATTTTTTGTCATTAACGTCCCGGATTCGATGGTGCCATCGATATTTAATTTATGTATACCCTTAATACTCGATGGAATCTACGGGTATCTAATTTAAATAGATTTTTATGCCGCTTCCAGCATGAATTTCCTGCTCGTCTTCCTGCTGGGCGGTCGCGATGAGCAGAATCACTCGTTCGGGACGCAAAGCACCAATTTGAGCGCGAAATAAATTGTGGCGTTTGGGGGCTAAATTATAGTCTCGATTTGAAACACCAGAATATTGAGAGTCCGTGACAAAACAGAAAATCACAGGTTAGAGCCGTATTCTTGGCTTGAAATTGGGCAATTTTTGAATGCTGAAAATCACTAAAGGGTCGGTAGGAATGGAAATTGAGTTAGAAAACATTGGCACACAATTCGACCGTCCGTTGTTGTGTATCGTAACATGAAAAGCTGAAAAGGTTCGAAACTCGCTGAAACGCAGCCGAATGTAGCTTATGGTAAATTTGTGGTTCTAGAAAAAGGAAGGAAATAGCTTTTTTCATAATCAAGTTACTATAATGGTTGCTGCTCCTTATAAGAATTTGTCAAAACGTAGCCGAGCGTAGCTTTGCGTGGCGAGAAACAAGAATATCGTATATCGTGCACGCAACCGAAAAATAGCGTAGCGTAACGTAACGTTGCGTAATCAACCGGGCAGGCAGGCAATTACATAACTTCTAGAATGAGCCGCTACGCAAAGCTACGTAGCCAAATATAAGGTTACGTAGCGTAGCAGAGTCAGCGTACCCTCGTATATATTTCACAGAATTAGGCTCTGTTCGTAAAGTAGCCTCGGGCATAAGTGCAGCCGTAAATTAATGCGCTTAATTTTCATTAAGCGGGTTTCACGGCCGCCAGCTTGCTAATCCGGCCAAAGTTGCGAGAGCACGAGTGCTGTCCAGCTCCTCAATTTGGTAGCAGATCTTGCCGTTAATACGCTTAATTTCATATAGCCTTTTCGTACTGCCCAGCTGCCCCAAATATTTACCGACAAGGCCTCTGCTTATTTATTGGGTGGACGGGGGAGTCCGCTGCCGTCCTCATGACATAATTCGGGTTCACAACAAAAAAAAGGCGCAGCGATAAGGGAGAAGCCGTGAGCTGGGGAGGTTCGTCAGCGGCGCGGTTTCTATCTCTTCAGAAGCTGCGTGCCGCCTTTCCCACAGCACTATCACTCGAACGAACCGGTAAATTCACGCCGGCGCCCGATTCGGATTTTCGCGGAAATTCACTTTTCGAACCCTGTTGAAAATGGCCAAATCGCCGCCCGGCTACGACGAAATTGGTGGGTTGGGCTGGAATTTTGAAAACATGGCGATTAGGATATCCGCAGCTACAGGATCAGCCGCCGGCATATGGGGTAGGTATTTTCAAGCCGCACAAAAAAATGCGTCGGCCTTGGCTTAGGCTTAGGGTTAGGCCTAGGGGCTAGTCTTAAGCTTGGGCTTAGGCTTAGGCCTAGACTCAGGCTTAGGCTCATGCTCAGGCCTTGGCTTAGGCTTGGGCTTATATTCTCAGACAGAACTTATGACTCGTTCTAATGCTTTCATCGAGCTTACGAGCAAGCAGCGAACTTGCTGTGTTTTTGCAGAGCACCATTCCGTACCCGAAAAACCGATCGTTCAGGTGCAAATCCTGGATCCTAAGCTGCTCGAGCGGGCTCTGCGAATTGAAGTCGCGAAACGGAGACGACTTGAGAGGCAGCTGCGGTTAGCGAGGGTAAGTCCCTTCTCTCTCTCGCTCTCTCTCTCTCTCTCTCTCTCTCTCTCTTTTTCTCTCTCTATTTCTCTCGCTCTCGCTTTTCTCGCCCGCGAAAAATTCAACCTCAAATGCAGGCAGAGCCCGACTACGCGCCAGCCCACCTAAATCACACCTTAGTTATCCAAGCCCGTCGCCAAGAAGAGCCAAGAACCGTTGGAGTTATAGGTACCACATTTATAGGTTTGGGTATCTGATACTTTGTATTAAATTAACCCGAGTTAATAATATCTTGAAGTCCAAAAACGGCCAAATTTTTAGCATTCAACGACTCTTGCCCCTACCAAGCACACGAGCCCCGAGAACGGCTGACAAGACGAGCAAAAATTTTCTGGACCTTCCTGATCCTGATGTGTATCGCATTATTGGTGATCCCCATTATAATTATAGCCCATCAGAACGGGTAAACTATTCTCGTTGTGTTATAAAGTATTTGTATTTCTATCGACAATTCAATGAATATTTATTTGAAAGAAGACAATGCTGATAAGTTAGAGACAACCCTCTGGGTTCTCCGCACACACTGTACTCGTACAGCCCACCCCGGCGACGTCGATGAACACCCCGGGCTCGTTTTCGATTGCCCAGCTTTTGCCAGCGGCATTGCACACGAGCGGAAGCGTGCCAACGGGACCACCAAGTCCTCCTAGGGGGGTGTCGAGCTGGAATTGTGGCATGAAATTGTTCTATTTTTGAGCTCTATGTCTCGCTGCCTCCCTCTCTCTCTCTCTCTCTCTCTCTCTCTCGTCTCTCTCTCTATCTATCTATCTCTCTCTCTACCACGACAAATGGTGGATTCCCGTCAGCCGGCTTACAAGTCAACGTCAGCGTCGAGCAGCCGTCAGCGGTCCCGGTTTTCACTAAAATATAATTCCGCATCTGCAAACCATTTCCGGTCATTTTTAGCAAGCTTTTTTCAGCTAAAGCTGAAAAACTTAGGTCGCAACATTGCGTTACCAGGACCAGATAACGAGTCGAAACACACTTAAAATCCAGGATTCGAAAAACAAAGGATCGCATGGTCTTATTTAAGTCATCGTAGTGCTACCGTAGCCCATCTATCAAACAACAGATCAACAAACCTACCATTTGTGAAAGCCGTCCACAACGTGCTCGGCGCCGGCATTTGCAGCTTGCCCGGGTCGCAACGAGTGCAAGCTATTGAAAATCGGATAAAAGCGGGTTTTTCTATAGCAAACCATCAATAACATCCTGGGTCCCAGTACGCAAACATCCAAAAGACGTTCCAAAAACCACAGTAGCAAAAAAGAAGGTGAGGCCCGAATTTGAGATCATCTGCATTGTCATAGGCTGCTGCTAATCCGCAAGGGAAAAATGATCCGCTTTAGTCGACTCGTGCCTTCCCGCTAGGCGTTTCGACCGTAGCGGCCGGCATTTGCCCAGATGAGATCGTTAGCTTAGGAGAGGAGGGAAGAGCGCGAAAAACACGCCGACGCAGAACTTATTGACGGTGGAGATCCCTGGGGGTGAAATGGTGAAACGGATTGGTGTGATAATCCAGATTTCCTTCCTTCTCTCTCTCTCTCTCTCTCTCTCTCTCTCTCTCTCTCTCTCGCTCTGTCTCACGATAAGAACAAAATTATAATATTTATTCCATAAAATGCCTTTTCAAAAACCGAGCAGTATCCTTTGCCTGTTTCCCAATTTTCGCATCGAGCGTCCTTTGCGCTTTTTCCTTGCCTAAAAACATGGATATTTCCGCCACCTGCATATACTCCTTACCCCCTGCCAGATCGTCAAGCTTCAACATTTTTATCGTTATTGGAAGTAGTAGCATTGTCATATAAATATACGCAATTTCATATTGTTTCAATAACTAAACGCCGATCGTCGAAAAAAAATCCAACTACCTACCTCTTGGACAGAATTCCACGGCATTACGGCGCCAGGGTTCAATCTTGAGGCCAATTCGTTGTAGTAATAATTGAGATATACAAACAGACTGTAATAAAAAAGCTTATTTAATTGAATAATCAGATACACGAGCATACCCAATTAAAAAATACACAAGACCCACTTTTCCTCGATATCCTCTGCCGAGGTCCCAGCGTGTAGGAAAAGTATCAAATCTTCGACGGCTGATCCGACGTGAACGTACTGAAAACGTTGGCTTTAAGGAGAGAGAGGGAGAGAGAGAGAGAAAGAGTGAGAGAGAGAGAGATAGAGAGCAATTACCTGCCAATCGATCACTTTATCAACGTGGTAGGCCCCGTTTCCATCCAGTTTCCATAAAATATTCGGGTTCCATATGTCGCCCTGGCACAAAATTGGGGCCGGACCTAAAGTAACTAATTAAAACCTCAAATGTCTACATTTTACATAGCAAGCTTCTAAAGCTCTATCGGCCACTAAATTTTGGCGCTTACAAGTGCTGTTCCTGAGCTCTGTGAAATTCGCAAAATCATCAAAAAATCGGGGTATCCATTGGATCATCAAATCCATTTCATCAGCCAGCTCTGGATACTGTAATTTTGCGCTCAGCATCAGCTTAACCAACCCCTAAATCGATTTTCGTCAAAACAACCGAACATACCGGTCCCTCATCGTGAAAGCGGGCCAAAACGTTAGCCGGAATTGACTTTGAATTGTCCGGCCAGCCCACTAGGCTCTCCGGGTCATTTAGGCCTACAATAATGACTTAATTTATGAACTATAGGTTGAAGATCCATTCTTAAAAAGCTTACTAAAAGCCGCGAGCTTCACCAACTCGTCGAGCGCCTCGAAAGCCCCGGTCCGGCAGACGTTATCGTAGAAATGGCGGCCAACGGTTTCTTTAATGCGCTCGAGAGCTATGTAGCCTAAAATCTGCTACTTTTCCGTCTTTTTAAAGCCACCAGCTTCAACGTTGTCCGCTCCATGCGCGCGTCCACAGAAAAATTTTGGAATTTTCAGATCGGCGGGCACTTTCCTGGGGTCCGACGCCTTGTTGTAGAATGACAGTTCGTTATTGTGAAGCTAAAAAGAGGACTTGGGCCGACAAGAGAGAGAACGAGAGCGAGAGAGAGAGAGAGAGAGAGAGAGGGGGGGAAGATAGACTTCAATAGCCAAAACTCACATAACCCTCGTCCAACTTCCTCGGCCGACCCAGAGCCGTTTGTTTGGTGTAGTCAAAATCAGGGTCTTGTACCGTAATCTTGACTATAGCACTTTCCGGTAAACGATCCCGATCTTCACTCCAATCAAACTGGACCAACGCTATTTTGGAGATGAAGCCCTAAAATCATTTAGAAAGAATAATCGATATTTTCGACAATACCATCCCTCCGGCAAAAAATTCGGCTCTTCGACCTGAACCTGTTCGCGCTGCCGTTTTGTATTTCCTCTTCAAATCAGCCTCTAGCATTTCCCAGGTTATTGGCGAGTCCAGGATTCGAGAAGTCATCCCTCGTAAGCCTAAAGAGTACGCAAAATAAGCTATAAAAATTATGCAAATCCGAAAATTCAGCAGAATTAACGCTTTTTCCAACGGATATAGAAAAACAAGATTAAGCAACGATTTTCGAAAGGCTGGTTGGAAAAAATGCAGTGTAAATAACCCGCGATGAGAGCGAGAGAAAGCCCTGTGCCCGTCATGGTTGTGCAATCACAATTTGGGAGGACCGTTTTCGACTCTTCCCTCTCTTTTTGGCTTTCTTTTCTGCCTCGATGCACGCATCAAAAGGTAGGTTGAATCCAAAAATTTGCTGAAAAAGGCCATTTCAGTGACGTACACCAGATGTTTTTGCCAGAAATCGATGAAGTTGCCAACTAGTATCGAAAAACTCCGGGCAACCGACCTCCGGCTCCGCCCATCCGCTGACTTCCCGTACCGATAAAAAGCCACAATCAAGGCGGGAAAGCTAAAGATAAGGAAGCACATGGGTGATAAGGGGCGCTGATAGCCTGACGGGGCGGAAACTTTCCTCTAGGGGTCGGTCATCGGAGTGTGGTCTTTGCTAGGCAGGCTCAACATGAAACTAACAGGAGTGAAACTGAAACATGAAACTTACAAGGAGACGTTTTTTAGTGTCCACTGAGTTTTGAAATGGGACCGGGCCTATTTTATGCAGAATTTTTTGTTGGCCGAAACGTACTTGTCAGAATCTGCGAAACAATCATTTTCAAAACTTTCAGTGTGAAAAATGCCCAAAAAGGCCAACTTTTGCCGTTTTTCGGCTTTTAAAGCGTCATAACTTTCTTATTTTGGTCGTTTCGGCGATTCTGAAAACGAGGTTTTAATCAGCGCAAAATTCTGCATAAAAGAGGCTTGGTCCCATTTCGAAACCCACTGGACACTAAAAAAATGTCACCTTGTAAGCTTAAAGGTACACTAAAATCTCATTCAAAAATTTCGCAGGGGTCAGGAATTCGGGTTCTCTGCCGCCTCGCGCCCTGACCCTTCATTGCCCCTCTCCCCCTTTCCATGTCCCGTCTCTCCCTTGGCCGATTGGTCTGTGGCGCTTGCCCCAGGCGAGGGGCCCGGGATCGGTTTTGCTCCGCGACGAACGCCTACCGTAGCCCTGTTTGCTATTTCGCGGACGGTTACCGGCCGGTAACCAAAGCAACGAGACTTTAGTGTATACATGGGTCGACGCTTGCATGCGCCGCATAAGCGTGGCCGGCCACGCTCTTCCGGAGCGTGGAGAGCCACGCTGGCGCGCGTGCTTCTTAATAAACCACGCCGAAATGAGCGTGGCCCGCCACGCTCCGGAAACGCTTTATGCAAAGCTTCTAAAAATGCAAAATCAAAGTTTTCCAAGGGACATGAAAGCAAAACTCTATCCGTTTTCGAGAATTTAATTAACAAGAAGTTGAATCACGATCTATCTTGTTTATTTATCAAAATTTAAAGATGACCCTGATAGTTATGTATCGGTAATTCATTTTTGCAAATCGAAATCATAAATATATGTCCTTTAAATTTTTGATTTGCATCTGGAGTTAGATCGCGCGCGTGAAAAAGCACGCATAAAGCGCCGCATAAGCGTGGTCCTCCACGCTCCGGAAGAGCGTGGCCAGCCACGCTTATGCGGCGCATGCAAGCGTCGACCCATGTATACTTTAGTGTACCTTTAAGCCTAGCATAGGCCTAAGCCAACGTCTAATTAGGGTTAAGCATAGCATAACCAAAGCCGGAAGGGTTAATCGGTCTGCCCTAGGGCGGCTTCCGCAAAGCTCAAGCCAAAACGAAGCCTGATTAAGCCTATTTGAAACCTCACAAGGACCTGCAGCTCAAGCCCCGATTTTTCGAGCGATTCTAATCAACATTTTCAGGCTCCAACCGCCACCCTCGGCCCCATAGCTACTTCGTGGCACGCTCCCTTGGCCGACTCTTGCAAACCCTAAAAATCCCCCCATTTCCCCCCACAAGCCTTTGTCGAAATCTCGAAAGGTCCGCTGTACACCTAATTCCGCAATCAAAGCTCCGCTCCTTATGCAAGAAAAACATTTCGTGTTGACAAAAGTGACAAATCATTGAGGCAAGACTAAAGCGTGCACCCCTCGATGAAATCCACACGATGACTCGCACAGACTATTTCCAAAACCATCCCTATTGGATACACCCCTACTTTTGACGCAGTTCCCCGTTCTTCGGCCTTCGCCGGAAGCTGATAAGTGAGGGTGGGTGGCGATTCCAAGCGTACTTATCTTCGGGAAAGCGGCGCCCGGCCAGACGTGTGCATTTTCGACTTGCTTCTTCTAATTCCGCCATCACTTTATCTCCATGCCCCTACCAAGCGCGCCGCCGGCTTACGGGGAGATTGGTAGGTTGATCGCTTCGGCCGAGGCACGAGTCAACTTTCCTTAAATTTCCCGTGATCTCCTCTTGACAAGTTGAAAACCGTTCCGTTAAATTTTTTGGCAGCCTTTCCGGAGCACTATTTTTCGTTTGGTTTCAGTATTTTTTTATGTCTGTTTAGCCAACACCACCAGCCAACCCCCAGCTCCGAGACCCGAAAGCCAAGAAGCCGAAGCAGCCAGTTCCAGCGAAATCTTCGAAAACGAGACCGCCGCCCCTCATCTGCCCAGGTTCCCAAAACACCCAAACCTTCCGCCACCGCCATATCAGGTAAGAGAACGTATGTACATATATCCGAACTCGAGCCGAAAAGTGCATAATTTTTCAAGGGTAAATAAAGCCTAGTAGAGCGTTACTGGTAAACAACAGTTTTTTTTCAGCCTTCCATCAATAAGACCGACGAAACAGCTGCAACCTCATCTCGTCAAAATGCGCCGATCTGGCACACGGTCACGGTAATATTTCAGGTTTTTAAAGGATCTCGGGAGTGCTAACGGTTCAAAAAAAACTACAGATCTTCCTCAGTAGTGATTTTACATTTAGATGCCAATCGAGCGGGAATGGATCGAAGATCGACGATCAGGTTGCAGTCGGCACCACCGTCGTCGTAGCGACGCGGGCAGTGCCGCTATCGTTGCCGGGTCGATTATGAGCGACTTGTTCAGTAAGTTCCTTCATTACCAGTCCTTCCTTTCTTTGGCCTAAAAGCTTGAAAAGTTAAAAACAGAACATTTTTACGATTTGGATTTTGGATACAGGGCAAGGTACGCACTGATTTCGCTTGTGTTATTTTAGAAATTTTTGTAAAGGCGTGAAGGAAACCCTTTCATAGGATAAGTGGTAGAAATTTGGTCGATTTAGCGCAAAAAAGATTGGTAATTATAAGAAAAATTCGGGCATTTTGTCGATCGGAAAGTACAAAAGATCTTTTTTTTTGGGACACCCTGTATCAATAGCTTCAGCACGACGCCGTGATCCCCAACATCAATCTAGCGGAGGAACGAGTGACAGCTCTGCCGGCGGAATCGCAGCCATCGCATGCATAGTTTGCAACGTTTTTGGATGTCTGTTCACAGGTGCTAATGGAAAATGAAATAATCAAAAATCCTGAGAATTCAACAAGCAAAAATAAAAAATAAAACAAATTCCAGGCGTCTACCTCCTGGGCAAGTCGTGCAAAAACTCCGGGCAATTCCGTCTCGGCTACTTCCTGGCCGGCCTCTGGTGCCTGATCGTTCTACCCGCGTTGACAATAACCCTCACCATCCTCTACTTGCAACACAACCCGAATTTTTTCAGTCAAACCGACAAAATATGATCGCAAAATAAAATTTGCCAAGTTGCCTGGAAAACGGATAACCGGAAAAAACTGAAATATGAAAAATGCATAACAGGAAAAACGTGGCACTACAGGGTGTCCCAATAAAAAAGGTCACGCTGGCATTTTGCTATTTCAACTCCGACCGACTTGAAATTTTGCACAGAGGTGCGGAAGGGAATTTAAAATGTTCACAGAAACTTTCAGCCCGATCGGTACAGTAGTTTTCCAGTTATGACAAAAATACTGTTTTTCAACACCTTTGCTTCATTTTTCGGCTATCTTTTTGGACTTTGCATCAATTAACATAAATTTCCGGCTCTAAATCCCTTATTCTTCTTAACATCGGCGTCGTTAGCCCTTGTTAAATTAAAAAATACTTAAATAGTCTATTTTCGACCCGAATTTTGCGAAATAAAAAAATTCCTAGGATAAAAAAGGGTCGGCGCTTCACACAGCAATTGCTTTTGCGCCATGCCTCGTTAATAATACACATCCTTTCGTAAGAGCTCTTCCTTTTCAGGAATCAATATTCAACATTGACAAAGTGACAAAAGTTGCACGCCATATGAATTTAGATGAAGACTAAAGAGTGCCCCATTGGCGAAACCCAGCAGATGACTCAATTGAATCGAGTCGATTCCACTGGCTGAGTCATCTAATTTCCACAACCATCCCCACGATATGGCCAAATTTTGACGCAGTTCCCCGTTCTTCGGCCCCGGCTGGCTGCTGATAAGTGGGGGTGGATGAAGCGTACTTATCTTGGGGACCGGCGGCGCCAAGTCAGTCGTGTGGAGTTTCGCCTTCCATTTCTCTATCGCTTTATTCCGATGCCAGCTCCGAGTGCACCTCCAGCCTACGGGGATATTGGTAAGTAGCTACGGCTATTGCCAATTTTTGTACCTTCACTTTAGCCATATCGGCTAGTAGCTAGGCTTCGGTTTTCGGCCGAAGCTCGAGCTTTGAAATATGCTTTGCCGAAGCGTAGGGGGCTGATCTTGCTTTGAAGCTCGCAGGAAAATTCAAAGGAACACTTCTTAACTTTTGTATTTTGTAAAACTTCAAAAATTTGGCAGCTTATTAGCGTCAAGCCTTCTGAATCGCTACGTTAACGCTTTTAAAATTTAGAACAACGCTCTGAATCGTCGAAATTAAAATTTATGAGCTACGAATTTTAGATACCGCTTCCACGACCGAACCGCCAGCCCAGAATCCCGTAAACCCGGAAGCCGAAAACCACGATTCCAACGAAATTTTTGAAAACGAGACATCCGCCCCGCATCTGCCCGGGTTCCCAAAGAAAAACCCGAACCCCCAGCCGCCACCCTATCAGGTAGGCCAAGTTCAGGTATATAAGAGGAACCACTGCGATCTCTAGCCTGTAAAGGGATACGAATTTTTAAATGGCAGCTGCTTGCGCTGCGATTGGTCTTATGGGATTACGCTGAAGCTTATGCATGACTTAAATCACTCTTTCAGCCCGCCATCAACCAGCTCGATGAAACGAATGCAGCGTCATCGCGGACTAATGTTAATGAACCAGTATGGCATACAGTCACGGTAAGACTTGCAGCTTTTTAGAAGCTTCAACATGCTCTTGATGCTAACCAGCGCTCTCTTTATCAGTTTTAACAATCGATTTCATAGTGTTTTCCATACTTCTTTCTCATCCGGATGACCTTTAGATGCCAATTGAACATGAATGGATTGACTCTCGGCGGTCGGGGTGCAGACATGATCGGCATCGCGAAGCGGGCACCGCCGCTATCGTTGCCGGGTCGATCGTGAACGACTTGTTTTGTAAGTTAAAATCTAGGATGATAAAATATAGGGTACAATTCATGGGGGGGAAGTTTTTGGGGGGGACAACCACTTTTTGTCGCCCCGGGGGGGGTAGTAAATAGTTTTTTCTTGTTTTTAGCAAAATTTTGGGCCTATCTGAATCGGAAAAACCTCTTAAAGTTGGAAAAGGGTGGAAAAGTCGACATTTTGGTCTTTGGGGCCAAAAATTTGTTTTTCGACCTAAAATTAAATTTTTTATTTTTGTTTTGTGTTTTTATGTTTAGGATTGCCTAACCATTTGGGACACTTCCACTATTTTAAAAAAAATTTAGGCGGCGGAAAAGGTTCCGTTCCCCCGCTAAATCTTCCCCCCCTTTTGAATTGTGCAAATATAGATACCCTTACTATAATTTTCTTGATGTATTATTTAAAGCATTAGGGTTGCTAGTGTCAGTTAGCTATAAATTACTTTTTAAAAATTTTGAAACTTTCAGCATCAAACCACAATCGTCACAACCACCACCATCATCATCACCATCACCTCAGCAGTCATCACCATCACGATCACCATTCCAGCAGCAACTCCGATGATAGCGCTGCCGTCGGAATCGCGGCCATCGCATGCATTGTTTGCAACGTGTTTGGGTGTCTTATCACAGGTAGACTTTTCAAACCGATAGTACACATCCAAAAATTAATATAAATGCATATACTTACAAGGAAGCAATTCCAGGTGTCTACCTCCTCGCCAAGTCCTGTAAGCACCCGGGTCACTTCCGTATCGGCTACTTCTTGGCCGGCATAATGTGCCTAATCGTTCTACCAGCCGTCACGATCACAAGTGTAATCATTTTCCTGCAGCACAACCCCAACTTGTTCAGTCAAAACGACAAATAAAACGTTCGCAAATTTATCTGTAAAATGAACTACAGGGTGTCCCAAAAAAAACGAACCATCTGGCATTTCGCCGTGTTATATCCGATCGGCCCCAAATTTGGACCAGAGGTGTATCAGACCCTAAATAACAACAATCCTGACTTTTAGCCCCGAAGCTACAGTAGTTCCCGAGTTATAAGAAAAATACTACTTTTCCTGGAATTCTGAACAGTTTTTTCGGCTATCTTTTTGGACTTTGCATCGATTTGCATCGACTTCCGGCTGCGAATCCCCAATTTCGCTTAAGAACCTGGGTAATTTTGCGTTGTAAAAATCGCTTAAATCGACGCTTATTTAATTAATTTTAGTCTGGAAAAAATTTCTTAAGGTAAAGAAGGCCTTTCGGATCATTTTCACTTAATGTTTAGGGGGTCTAATTCCACGAAAATCCTATGAAAAATAGAAACTAAGTTTTGTTTTTGCCATAACTCTAGAACTACTGTAGCTACAGAGCTATAAGTCAGGATTGTTGTTATTTAGGGTCTGATATACCTCTGGTCCAATTTTGGGGCCGATCGGATACAACCCGGCGAAATGCAAGATGGTTCGTTTTTTTTGGGACACCCTGTAAATCGTCAAAAAGGCTCAAATACTCGTCGGCGAAAATGATGTCAAAGCGCGTAAAATATCACAACGTGAGCGACAGAGGGGTGGCGGCTGGAGGCTGGGACAAACAAAGCAAGGGGGGCTAGTTTTTTTGTCAACTTTTTAGTCTTCATCGGAGAATCGTTCGTCGTCCTCGCTGTCCAGGCTGCCCTGATCGTCTCTGAAAACCAAAATTAGGAATTACGTGCCAATTCCAAATGGCTTCAAATGTCACTTACTCGCTCTCGCCGCAATCCACAAAGTCGGGCATTCGGGACTTGACCATCGCGAAGTCGTCGCCAAAGTTGTTGCACTCAATCTTCAGCTTCACACTGCCACCAAATTTCGGGAGTCGCTCGGCGATACGGAGCGCCGCGTCCGTCGATAGCTCGCTTCCACTCAAGTCGATGAACTAAACAGAATTTTCAAAGAGCGCTTAAAATTCACCTGGAGCTGCGGATTCGTGTTCGGATTCAGGGCATCAATGATGTAGTGGCAGCCAGCGTTTCGGCACAGACAGTCGGCCAGCGATAGCGACTCGAGCTTGGGCAGCATCGTAAGGGCAACCGAAATGGCGTGGGCGCCAAGCTCCGTGGCCGTATTGTCGCCAAGGTCAATTTTCTTGAGATTGGGGTTGTGCTAAAAAATAGTTCGAAAATTAGTTGCAAATTCTTACCTGGAAGGCGGCGGCCAGCGCTGTAATTCCCTCCTGCTTGATGCCGTTCTGGTGCATGGTGATTTCTTCTAGCGACCCGAGAGTTTGGAAAGCGGCAGCCAGAGCGATCGCGCACTCGTTTTCAAGCCTGTTACGCCCAGCGATGAATGTCTAAAAAGGGCAGACTTTGGGATACGACCGTCACAAACCTTGAGAGCAAACCGTCGGCCAGCGGATGCAGCCCTGCGATGACATTCGATAAGCGAGGTGGCAATTTGCTTTCCACCGATGCCCAGGCCGCAATTGTTCAGCTTCAAAATCTCCAGGGAGTAGGCGGAGGGCGATTCGAGGAATTCCTAAAAAAACTTTAAATTGAGTAACGATTTTTAACCTTGATGCTCTCCGCTCCGATAGGCCCGAATGCGTTGTCAGAAAGATCGAGCTCGACCAGCTGCACATTGGCCTTCATCATCGAGCCGCACAGCGCGCGCAGGATTGGCGGAATTTCAGCACGAAGCCGCCCGGTGAACAGATCGCTCCAAAGGCATCTGCGTAGATGATGGCGGTTCTACAAAAAAAGGTCTTATAAAAAGATCTAAAAGCGCACCTCAAGAGCATCAGCAATGGCTTCGCCGGCATGGATGCCCAGGGTGTTGCCCCGCAGCTCGAGCGTTGCGAGGTTGGGGCTGGCCCAGATTTCCTCGATGAGGTGGGCAACTAAAAAAATCAATCTCAAGATGCCCACTCAAAACTACCATCTTCCCGCTTGTCCCATTTCTTCTGTTGATTCAGGCAGGTGATCGTGGTGCCCTGAAATTGGTGTATACCCAGATTTAAGGTTTGGACGAACCTCTTCAGTTTGAGGAAACGGAACATCACCGCGAGCTTCAGCGGCCACCTGCAGGGCGGCCATATCGGAGAGTAGCCCCTGCAGCGTATCCGCTAGCTGTTGTTTGTCGGCTGGTGAAACAGCTTTAGTAGGCTGAGCAGAGATGTCGTGCTCACTGCTAAAAAATTGTTAGAATCCCAGGTAATAATTTACTCTTCAGAATTCGAGTCGGACTCGTGTTCACTCTGGTCGCTGTCCAAGCTGCCCTGATCATCGCTGAAATAGAAAAAAAAAATAAATACATGGTCGGTTTCAGAAAACAAACAGCCTTTCAACTGATTAACTTACTCGGTTTCGCCGCAATCCACAAACTCGGGCATCCGCTCCCTCACGAGCTCAAACTCATCGCCAAAGTTGTTGCACTCAATCTTCAGCCGCACGTTGCCGCCAAACTTGGGGAGACGCTCAGCGATACGGAGGGCCGCATCGGCCGTCAGCTCGCTTCCGCTCAAGTCGATAAACTAGAAAAATACTACTAGCAGAACGAAATCAATTACCTCGAGCGCGGGGTTGGTGTTCGGGTTCAACGCGTCGATGATGTAGTGGCAACCAGCGTCCCGGCAAAGACAATCGGCCAGCGATAGCGACTCGAGTTTGTGCAGCATCGGAAGAGCCTTGGAAATGGCGTGAGCGCCGGTCTGCGTCGCTGTATTGTCGCCCAGGTCGATTTTCTTGAGGTTCGGATTGCCCTAAAACGAAATGAAATCATCTGCTACTATAGCCTTACCCGGAAAGCAGAGGCCAGCGCTGTAATGCCCTCTTTCTTGATGCCGTTCTGGTGCATAGTGATTTCTTCTAGCGACCCGAGTGTTTGGAAAGCGGCCGCCAGAGCGATGGCGCACTCGTTTTCGAGCCTGTTACGTCCGGCTACGAAGGTCTAAAAAGAGCTACTGGAAAACGGTTATGCAAACCTTTAGAGCAAAACGTCGGCCAACCGATGCAGCCCTGCGATGACACTCAATGAGCGAGGTGGCAATTTGCTTTCCACCGATGCCAAGCCCGCAATTGTTCAGCTTCAAAATCTCCAGGGAGTAGGCGGACGGCGATTCGAGAAAGTCCTAAAAAGTTTTGGGATTTCTATCAAACTTTTATACCTTGATGCTCTCCGCGCCGATAGGCCCAAACGCGTTGTCGGACAGATCAAGCTCGACCAACTGCACGTTGGCCTTCATCATCGAACCGCAAAGCGAGCGCAGGATCGGTGGGATTTCGGCACGCAGCCGCCCGGTAAACAGATCGCTCCAAAGGCAGTGTTGCAGCTCCGGATGATACTGAAAATGACTGGAGAAAGATAATAACGACATACCTGCAGGGCTTCGGCGATGGCTTCACCGGCCTCAACACCGAGCGTGTTCCCGCGAAGCTCGAGCGTTAGAAGTCGGGGGTAGTTGGCGATCTCGCTGGCCACCATGGCAACTGCAATAGTTTCAGGGAATTTAGAAAATGGCTTACCAGCATCGCGGCTATCCCATTTGGCTTGTTGGTCGAGGAAGCTGAGCTTCGGGAAGATCCCGAACATGTTTCCTGAAAGGATTCCGTCATGAATGATTGCGAGCGCAGCTTGGAAAAGAAAAAAAGCAAAGATTTAAAAATAGAAGTTTTGAGGCACAAAAAGGATAAAAATCGTTTTCGAAAGCGAATTGCCGCCCTTTCGAGTTGAGAAATGGGTGGCTATTTGACACCCAAGGGACCAGATGGAGGGACGGAATCAGGCGGAAAAGTGCCAGAGAGCGGGGGTGAGGGTTCGAAATTTTGCTTTAGCACTTGTAAAAAGTCTTAAAACTGCGAAGACATAATGAAAAACAAAAACCTTTTTGCTGAAAAATTAGACATTAGTTTGACTGACACGAATGCAATTATATGCAGCTTGTTTACGAGCTTCGGTTCCCCAGAAAGGCCTCGTCTATAATATTCTGCCTTTTGCTTCTGTAATTTCCACTCTTCTTTTTAGTTTATCGCTAATATGCTATTTTTTCAGATGGACTCGGTGTTGGAAACCCAGCGTAATCTCCACGAGGAGCGCGAGCGCCTCATCGAGGCCATGACCAAGGAGACGATCGCCGAGAAGCGCTCTCACAAAGCCCTCATCAATAGCCAGCATCGTGTTCGCAAATTTGCTGATGTGAGTTGATTCTCTTTAGTATTTACGATTTCGTTCGGCTTTTACAAACAAATTCTTTAGCGCTACATTGATGCCACGGCAGAGCTGGAAAAGTTATACGAGGACACAACCAAGGAGCGTGAAACGGAGATTGAGGCTATCAGTGGCCCGAACGAGTTTGCGGAGTTCTACTCGCGGCTGAAGACGCTGAAGGACCATCACAAACGGGTTGCCGAAGAGGTAAGAGATTCTTTGTTTTTAAAGCGATCATTTTTCTTAGTCGGCCTCCTGCCATTCGCTGGACTTTCAAAAAATTATGGCCGAGATCGCCGATCCAGAGCGTGAGGAGCCGGAGATGATCACTTTCACAGATGAAGAGGTACTGTTCTCTCCTCTTGCCTCCTAAATCTGTTTTTTTTTCAGGGCTACGGCCGCTTCCTCGATCTGTACGCTGCGTACGATAAATATCTCAACTTGAAGGGCGTCAAGGTAGCAAATTTTCAGCGTCTAATTCTATTTGTTGTTTTAGCGCATCGACTACATCACGTATCTCGGCCTCTTCGATAAATTCCAGGATCTGAATAAGCAGACGACAAAGAAAACCGGGGCCTACCGCGAATATGTCCAGGTGCGAGAATTTTTTTATTTTGTCATGAGGATGCTTTTTAGAGCCTGAAAGACTACATTGTTGACTTCATGCAGCGCACGAGGCCCATGTTGGACGTTGAAGGGCAGCTAGAACGAGTAGGCTTTGACAAAGTAATTAATCTCGGACCAAAAGATTTTTTCAAAATAGACTAAAAATTATATTATTTTTAGTTAACTAAATTGCGGCCAAACGGGTGTGTTCCTTTGTGATCAATGGCATTGATCTTGCCGGAAGTACAGAAATTGCATCGGTGCTCTCTGAGATATTATAATTAACCTCCCATACGGGGCCCCTCCCCTTCCCCGGCCCTCCGAGCCGGCGGCGGTCTCTTCCCAGGCCCCTCTCCTTGGCCTGTGGTCACGCTGTACTGGGGACGCCTCCCCCCCCAAACTGGTTTGCCGATTGGCCCCTGCACCTATGTTTGTGTTACGCGCGGCAGGAATTTTTGAGTTTTGCGGCGGGTCTCTGTGTTTCCTGGCTATTTTGTCTTCTGGTTGGGCAAAGGGCTATCTCTCTTAAGAGTCTTTTAGGGCTTTTGTTTTCCTGGGATTCTCGTGGCACAAGCTAAATTCCTTTCAACTCTTAAATGCCACAAAATGTGGGATCAGGTTGCTGGCACCTTATTAAAATGGACAGATCCATTTCTAGCGGTTTCGGCTTGCAAATAATTTCTGTATTATGATCTATTTCCTTTCTTGATTAATCTGTGGACCTGACCTGTGATCTGGGTGGTACCGAGTTTATTAAGATTTTAAATAGCCAGCAATTTTTTTGTTCCTCATTTTGTGGCATTTTTAAGTTTGAGGTCTCTTTTTGTTGCCCGGTTCTTCTTTGCGAACCAAACCCCTTTTAGCTCTTTGCCTTGGTTTTCTCAGCAATGAATCGGTTCGAAGGTTTTGAAATGTATTTTTTAGGCTGCAGCTGACGTGGAACGTCTATGGGATCAAGGTGGAGTCCCCGGTTGGTCAGAACAATCTCTACAGGTATGAAAATCAAATCGTTTATTGCATTAATTTGTGCTTAGGGAGCAATGGCGGCTGGTCCGCAACCTGTTGCCATCGATCTAGCCAATGTCAACTCGCCGAAGGAGCTCGAAACTTACGGACTAGAACGTCTGAAGGGCGCCCTGAAAGCGGCAGGACTCAAATGTGGAGGGTAAATTCAGCTGAACTTCTTCAATTCATTTTTAGTACCCTGAAAGAGCGTGCCGAGCGCCTGTTCGCCTCAAAATCGGCCAACTTGACCGAGGAGCAGAAGGCTGCCTTGGTATTTTACCCTTTTTTTTCATTTTTATTACATTTCTTTTGGGCCAAGAAAGACGGCGGAGACCGGGGGGCGCTCAAGAACAAACAGCTCGCCACGATGGAGATGCAAATTAAAACGTAGGGTTAATGAATACGCTATGAATTTTACCTATTTTTCAGCCTCGTCAACATGATCGGCGAGGAGCGCGAGGCCACCAAGGAAAACGTGGAGCGCAAGCAGGCACGCGGTGGAGCCGCAGGTGTGAAACTCTTCTTTGCAATGAATTTTTATGTTTTCAGAGGAATCCGAGGAGGAAGAGGACATTGTGCTCGAGCCGGAAGTTGAGGAGATCGACGATGGTATCCCCTACAATCCCAAGAATTTGCCATTGGAGTGAGTTTTTAGAAATAAGGTTCTATTAGTTGACTTCTTTAGTTGGGACGGCAAGCCGATCCCCTACTGGCTTTACAAGCTGCACGGCCTCAACATTTCGTACTCGTGCGAAATTTGCGGAAACCAGAAGTACAAGGGCCCGAAGGCTTTCCAGCGGCATTTCTCTGTAAGCTCTGTCTTTTGTTTTGAAAATTAGGGTTTTTCAGGAATGGCGACACTCGCACAGCATGCGTTGCTTAGGCATCCCCAACACGGCCCATTTTATGAATGTTACAAAGGTATTTTTAAAAAAAATCATGGAAACTTTTTTCCAGATTGCCGAGGCGCTGGCGCTTTGGAATAAGCTGAAGAAAGACCAAGAGATGGCCCGATGGAATCCTGATGTAAGAATTTATTGTTTTGACTCTAATAGGAAATTTTTAGCTTGACGAAGAGTACGAAGACTCGGCCGGCAACGTCGTCAACAAGCGCACCTTCGATGATCTCAAGCGACAGGGGCTCCTCTAAATTGTTTCTAGCCTTCGCAAATTGTTATTTATTGCAATTACCCGTCGGTGTTCCATTTTCACGGTCTCATGTTATGTCCTGTTACCAGTCATTAAATTCAATAAACTATGGTTTCGTTGTATACAGGAAAGCTGACCGGCGTAATTTGCTCAATGGAATGCTTTGAAATGGACGAGACATCATTTTTATAGTTTTGAAGTGACGCGTAGCGCAGGATTGGATTCCGCTGGCGCGCGTTGGCGTGAATTCGCTATGACCTTTCCGCGTCAGTTTTGCGGCCTGCTCTTTTGATTGCATGATGAATTACGACCCCGTCGAGTGATAGCGACTGTCATCCTCCCTTTAAACGTATGAAATCGTGGGATTGCTGGGCCTTGGGCAATGTTGGGGTTTCTATTTCGAAAGTCGCAGCGAGCGCTGTTGCTAGTCAACAGGGAGGCGGGGCATGCGTTTTTTGTTGCGGCAGATAATGGTCAATCCTCAGTCATTCCCAACGCCTCGCACACTTCCGCGTTGGCTTTTCCGAACAATTTCTTTTTACAGATTTCGAAGCCGAGACGGTCTTCTATTTTCGAATATCATGGTTAGGTGAAGTTCGAATTCCCGATATGTCTCCCACGCGGAAAAGGTGTCCCCCGACCACCGAAAATGCCTAGAAAAGTTGGTGAAGAAACTTTGGCATTCGCGGCAGCGGTTTTCACGTTTCACCTTGAACGCCACTCACCACGCGATATCTGGCCATTCCCGGGGTTTGCCCCAGTATTTATTTGTTCCCAATGCGACCCCGTTTTTCCGTCCGGGTTGATGACTCAGCATTTACCCAATATCGGCGAATCGATAGGACGAGCTTTCCCCGTTTTTTTTTTGTAATTGCTGCTTCGATTTTGATGGGATGACGATATTATATCCTTTATTTTATATTTTTCAGCCACAATGGTCTTCTACGAGAAGCTCGTCCCGCTCGGTGAGGAGCTGAAGGAGCTGCTCGCCAAGGAGGCCAAGGCTCAAGGTGTCCCAAAGCTGGTGGTAGGCCTTGATCCTGAAAGACTATAATTATTTTAGTTCTCCCCCTCCGAAATCGGGGGCTTTGAGCTGACCGTCGAGGCGCCGAAGCCGGTCGAGCCTGAGTCGGAGCCCGAGCGGGTTGAGCCCGGTTGGGCTGGCGATGATGATGTCTGCTATCGTTCCGGGCAGAGATCAAAGGCCAGCCAGAAACAGGTAAATTTTTTCCGTATTTTTTTCAAAAACGCTGTTTAGATCGAAAACAGTGCTGGCGGCTTCGTCTTCCAGGTCTCCGACGAGACTCGCGTTCGCCGATATTTGATTATGGGTATGTGAAATGACTTTCAGCTTGAAAAGGATTTTAGGCACGACCGGTGGAACGTTCTACATCAGCGAGAAGGAGCTGGCGATCGAGAACCTGGCGGATTTGATGCGAATCATTGACCAAGGTAATTTTTGTGCGCCGTTTTAAAATTGTTAATTTTTCAGGAGAAGCCGCTATGGTTCTTCGTGAAATCAAGGAGATCTCATTGGGCGGAAGAAACCCGAAGCAGGAACCCGTCATGTTTGCATTGGCGCTTTGCGCGAAGTAATTTTAATTTGTGTAACTGAAAACGTTTTCCACGTTAGGTATCGTATCGGCCATCTACACAGCAGCGGACTCGGGTCGGAAGCGGCGAAGCTCTACGCTAACTACCTCAAAGCGATGCATGCCGCTGCCCTCGAACTGTTGCAATCGGTTTGTTTTTCGGATCGGTTTGGCTCTACTTGCGATTTTTAGGTCTGTCGCATCCCAACCCATCTCTTCATGTTCGTCGACTTTGCGCAGAAGGTGGCCAAGCACTCGGGGATTCCAAAAGGCTCGACTGGATGGGGACGTGCTTTCCGGAAAGCCATCTGCGATTGGTAAATCTTTTGCAGTTTTGGGCTCAAATATTTTCATTTGCTAGGTACGCCGCCAAATCGCCGCGTCAGATGGCGATGGCCGTCACGAAATACGGAAAACGTGGTGGATGGTCACATCGGGACCTCTTCCGACTCGCCCATCCAACGGTACTAGTTTTTATTGATGTTGATAAAATCATTTTCAGCTCAATTACTCGGCCGATGATGACCAATTCCTGGAGCGCGAGCAAATCTATCACTTCATCGTCAAGGGCGAGCTGGCCCCCAGGAAGAGGACATTCGCCCAAGCGGAACTCGATCTACTCGAGCAGAAGCCCACCGAAAAGCAGTTGGACAGGTAAAGCATTTGCGGCTTTTCGTAGTTTATCAAGTTTTTCAGCGAGGAGAAATCGGAGGCGTTGAACCTGATCGAGACGTACAAGAGCCTGAACAAGGACAGCGCCGAGCAGGACGTTGTCGTGGCGATTAAGCAGAAAGGTAAAGCATCGACTTTTTTTAAAAGTTTAATTTTAACTTTAAGGCCTGGTCCGCGAGCACATCCCGCCCGAGCTGCTCAACTCGGTGCCAATCTGGAAAGCCCTGCTCGACGACATGCCGATGACAGCCCTCATCCGAAACTTGGCCAAAATGACGGCCATCAACGTCATCGATGCGTAAGCTTTTATTCAGAATTTTCTAAGTATGATCCCAATTTCAGTGATAACGTCCAGCTCGTCTGTGGCCAGATCACGAATCAGGAGGCCATCTACAAGTCCCGGATCCACCCGATGCAGGTGAGAGATTTTTTAAATGAAGATTTACGGCCTTTTCAGATCCTCGTTGCTCATCACATGTACAGGAGCGGCAAGGGCGACAAGGGCAAGCTGACCTGGGGGCCGAAAGTAGAAATCGTGGCAGCACTGGAAAAGGCGTTCTACACCTCGTTCAAAAACGTCGAGCCCACCGGAAAGCGATATTGCTTCGCCTTCGACGTCAGCGGTAAGTAAGCAGGTCGTTGGCGTGTTATTTTCCGTTTTAGGCAGCATGTGTCAAAGCGTGCTGGGCACGACAATCACGGCCCGGGAAGCCTCTGTCGCGATGGGGATGATTGGGCTGAGGACCGAGCAGAATGTAAGCGAACGTTGAAAAGCGTTAAAAACATGTTTAGGCGGAAACGGTGGCCTTCTGCGACGCGCTGGAGGAGATCCCGTGGAAAAAGGAGTGGAAATTGGACGAGACGTGCGACTATTTCAATAAGCTAAGGTAAGACTTTCCTATTTTTTCCATGAGAAATTGCTTTTTTTAGGTTCGGAGCCACCGACTGCGCACTCCCGATGGTATGGGCAAAAGAGCAAAAGAAGAAATTCGATGTCTTTGTCGTCTTCACCGACAACGAGACGTATTACGGGAAAGTAGGTTAACCGATTCATATTTATGAGTGTTTTTTTTCTTTCAGATCCATCCCCACGACGCGCTCTGCGAATACCGTGAAGCCTCGGGGATCCATGACGCCAGGCTGGCCGTGATGGGCATGTGCGCCAATCAGTTCACCATCGCCGATCCGGACGACGCGGGAATGGTCGGTTTATTTGACTTACTTATGAACCCCCATGAGACATCGACTTTTATTCTAATTTTCAGATGGACTTCCAGGGCTTCGACCCTTGCTTCCCGCAGATGCTCGCCGACTTTGCCCTTGGCCGAATCTAAGCTATTCATATCTTTGTACATATCCCGGTTGTTTTGTTGTGATGTTTTTTTGCTTGCATGTGCTTGTTTTTTTTGATAAATTTTTAGTCAATCAGTTTTTTGAGATTCAAATGCACACGCAGCAGAATTTAAAAAAAGATTAGAAAGTGTGAACTACGAATCGAAATAAGCAGAATAATCGAGGGGCTTCGGTAAAAAACCGGATAATTCATGATCTTAAAGGGATGACGACGGCATAGACAATCGGTTAAGAAAATGGAAATCGAAAATGTCCCCCTTGCGTCTCGCCCCAGGACGCACTCTGGGCCCTGGCCCTGGTGGCCCACCTTCACATTTGTTAATGGCCCGGGATCGACACATGCCGTCGGCAGCCCTTTAAAATATATAGTTTCCTCGTGATTGTAGTTTATCACTGATCAGCTAAATTTACGACAATTCGATAGCAAACGGATCTCAATTTCGTCAAGGAAAAAAACGCTTATTGCACGCCCCTTGTCTGGTATACTATGACGAAAATGATAGAAATCCGATGTAATTCCGATTATTTCGCTTCGACAGATAAACAATTCCAACAATTTCCAAGTGTTGCAAAACGTTGCGTAATCATTATGCATCCCTGGAAATGCCCCTTTGTTCTCTGCTGTTGCTAGAGAACGGTAGAAGGGGGCGGGGGTGGCCTTTCGGCTCTCCACAAAAGTGTTTGCCTCCGCTATTCACCACATTTTCCTTGCCAACTTATTTTGTAGCGTTGTCCATTCATACAAGCTTTTCAAGAAGCAGATTACAAGAAATTTTGGCACCCCACCTTGGGGCATTAACGGCTTTCGGAAATTCGTTAATATTCGCTTCAAGGTGCAAGCAATAGTATTTAGCAATCTCGAACATCCAGCTTTATTTAGAACTTAGAATTTTTAGTTTTTAGTTTCAGCTTTAGTGGTTTTTTTTGGTTTGCCGTTTTAATCGCCAAGGAATATCTAGCTTTGCAGTTTTTTAGCCCCCTGCCACCCTAAACAAATAGAAAAATGCCACTGGTTTTTGACCAAGACCTGCTAGGCGATGCGTCACCTTTTTTGGTCCTCGATAAATACGTATTTCTTGCAATGACGCGACTGATAAGGCTACGTCCAGCTTTTACGGTTGAGCAGCCGGAAATGCTTCAAGGCAGCGATATTTCTGAAATATACTAAAGTTTTTCATTAGCTTATCTTCTTGCTTTGAATTTCTAATTTTTTTCGGATACTCTCTCACTTTCTCTCTCTCTCTCTCTCTCTCTCTCGCTCTCTCTCTCTCGTAATTTTGTGTTTCTGAACGAAATCAAATTACAGCCAAAATGTCAAATCACGAGAAGTTGGCCCTCGTCGGGAAGCAGCTCAGAAAGTTGCTGGCCAAGGAGGCGGCTTCAAGGGGTGTCGAAAAAGTTGTTGTGAGTACTGTTTCGTATTTCTTTCAACCGTCTGGTTTCTATCAACCGGAAGAGAATCTTTCAGTTGTCCTTCTCCGAACTCGGAGGCTTCGAGGTCACCGTGGAAACTTTAAAACCATCTGGGACGGAGAAAGCGGTTGATGTAGCCGGCCTTCTAGTGGCGGACGTGACGCGTGATCGTAGCCAGAAGACGAAGGTCAACAAGAAGCAGACCAAGAACAACGCCGGCGGGTACGTCTTCAAGGTGTCGGATGAGACCCGTGTGCGCAGATTTTTGATTATGGGTAAGTTGTAAGCAGTGTAGTAGTAACACGGATGTCTAGGAACTACCGGAGGGACATTCTACCTCAGCGAAAAGGAGCTGACTGTCGAGAATCTGGTGGATTTGATGAAGATTATTGATCAAGGTAGGAAATAGCGCACTTTTGTACTTTGTACGTATTCCTTGCATGCTTAATTATTGGACTGAAAGTTAGTGAAAAAACAACAGATTTTTTAGGAAACGCCTCGATGATTCTTCAAGAAATCAAGGAAATCTCGCTGGCTGGACGAAATCCAAAACAAGAGCCAGTGATGTTGGCCTTGGCCCTGTGCGCCAGGTACGGTAGATTAGAATACTCCGTAACAGGTAAAGTACGACACAATGTACCCAGTACAGCGTAGAACGATACGGTACGATACAGTACGATTGATTACGGTACCGCAGAATAGACGCCGTACGGTACAGTATGATACAGTAAGATACGTTACGATACAATAAGGCACAATAAGGCACAATACGGTGAGCTGCGGCAATAAATATTGCGGTATATTTATACATAAGAAGGGATAGTAGGTACGGGCGATTGAGGGTGGCCTGAGCACCACCCAAAGTTATAATCCTACTTTAGATACCGTACCGGCCAGGTGAAAGGCGAAGGCTACGACTCCGAGCCGGCCAAGTTGTACGTGGAATATTTGAAGGCCATGCATGCAACCGCATTGGAACTGATTCCACAGGTACGTCACACTACTGTATACGGAAAAAGGGAAATTCCTTAGGTCTGCCGAATTCCAACCCATTTGTTCATGTTCGTCGACTACTGCGAGAAGGTGGCCAAGCACTCGGCGAATCCAAAGGGGTCAACGGGATGGGGGCGAGCTTATCGAGCCGCGATTAGGGATTGGTGAGTGGATTTTTGTGACTTATTCCTGTAGAGCTCTGGATCTCTCTCTCTCTCTCTCTCTCTCTCTCTCTCTCTCTCTCTCCAAACCATAATCACCTGTTAGGTACGCCACCAAGTCCCCACGCCAAATCGCGATGGCGATCACGAAGTACAAGCAGCGTGGAGGCTGGTCCCACCGCGACCTCTTCCGACTTGCCCATCCTACGGTATATGAACATCACCTTCTACGATTTTCCAATATTTTGCAGCTAAAATACTCGGCTGACGATGACCACTACCTGGAGCGCGAGCAGTTGTTCCACTACATCGCCAAGGGGGAGTTGAAGCCGAGGAAGCGGACTTATGCTCAGGCCGAACTCGAACAGCTCGAGCAGAAGCCGACTGAGAAGCAGATGGAAAAGTGAGTTAGATAGTTTTGAATTTCAAGGGCATGATTGAAAGGGAGCAAGAATCCTGGGCCCTGGAGCTGATCGAGACGTACAAGAGCTTTGCCAATTGTACGGATGAGTATGATGTGGTTGCGGCTATTCATAAGCTAGGTAAGGGCACGCTTTCTCGCTCTCCCTCCCTCTCTATCTCTCTCTCTCTATCTCTCTCTCTACGTCTCCATTTAGGCATGGTCCGAGAGCACATCCCACCCGAGCTCCTGAACTCTGTCCCCATCTGGAAAGCCCTGCTAAACGGGATGCCAATGAATGCTCTCATCAGGAACCTGGCCAAGATGACGGCCATCAACGTCATCGATTCGTGAGATTCTTTTCGCAACACTTTACGTCTGAATTCAGGGACAACGTGAAGAGCATCTGCGAGCAGTTGACAAACGCGGAGGCCATTTATGGGTCTCGAATACATCCGATGCAGGTGAACTCCTTGAACTTCTTGGCAGACCCTAATCGGCTCACTGCTTACATCCACTTGTCTTAGATACTTGTTGCTCATGAGCAGTACAATCGCGGAAAGGGAGATAAGGGCAAGCTAGCCTGGGAGCCGAACCAGAAGATTGTCACCGCCCTCGAGAAGGCAGGTTTGGAAGGGTAAAGCCCATCATTTTCCGCGACATACCTTAAATATAGACCAAAAAACCATAGCTACAAAGCGTAGTGTGACCTTTAGGCCTTCCACATCTCCTTCAAGAACGTCGTCCCAACTGGTAAACGCTACTGCTTCGCCTTTGACGTCTCGGGTACGGTGTTTGCGGTTTCCATAACTTTTTCGCTCTCTCGCTCTCTCTGTCTCTCTCGTCTCTCTCTCCTCTCTCTCTTTCTCTCTCTCATCAGGCCCAGATAAAACTTCCCATTTATGCTATTTCCCGGTTAATTACCTTTTTCTAGGCAGCATGACGCAGGAGGTGTTGGGGACCACAATTTCGGCCCGTACAGCTTCCGTGGCGATGGGGATGATCGGGATGAAGACCGAGGAACATGTAGGGAGCATGAGCTCAAAAGTATTCGGAGAATTTTAGGTAGAAACCGTGGCGTTTTGCGATAGCCTTGTCGAGATCCCTTGGGAGGCCAACGAGTGGACGTTGAAGCAGGCTACCAACTATTTTGATAAGCTCAGGTAAGCAAGCTTGGGATTAGGCTTAGCCTTAGGTTAGGCTTAGGCTTCACTTAAGCTTAGGCTTAGGTTTATGTTTAGGTTTAGCAGAACGCATTTTTTTATATAGATTTGGAGCCACCGACTGCTCCCTGCCGATGGTTTGGGCGAAAAAGTGCAAGAAGCAGTTCGACTGCTTTGTCGTTTTTACGGATAATGAGACGTACTATGGAAAAGTGAGTAGCACTATAAATGTATAACGCATAAATATATATAAATCCAGATCCACCCCCACGAAGCCCTCCTCGAGTACCGCCGGGCCTCCGGAATCCACGACGCCAAGCTGGCCGTGCTGGGCATGTGCTCGAACTCGTTCAGCATCGCCGACCCGGACGACGCGGGAATGGTAGTTTTGTTATAAAAAAGGAAGCAAAAAAATTCAACTACACTTTATCTTAAACGTTTCAGATGGACTTCCAGGGCTTTGACCCCTGCTTCCCGCAGATGCTCAGCGAGTTCGCGATGGGACGATTTTAAGCGAAAATTCTGCCCATTAGTTTAATAATTATTTATAACTGTACATATTTTGTTGATGTTTTTTTACGATTCGTTGCCGTTTTTATGTTTTTTCGGGATTGGTTTTTGCTGATAAAGTTTTCCAACATTGCTTGGAGACAAGATCCAGCGAGAGAGCGGGAGAGAGAGAAAGAGAGAGAAAGAGAGAGAGAGAGAGAGAGAGAGAGAGAGAGAGAGAAAGAGTATTACGCATCAAGAAATTTGAATACAGGCATCCCCTCAAATTTTGAGTCACACCTCGCCTCACCCTCGCGATGGACAGTCGGGCCCCCATCGACGACCCCCCAGGCTACGTGCCCTTCTACTGGCTGGGCCTCGGCGGCATGCTGTTCAACACCATTGTTTTTGTGAGTTTAATAATTATGATGTATAAATTAGTGTCTTTTTATATTAACTTAATAAACCGGAGAATATAAAGTTTTTCAGCTGTTCCTGACGGGCTACTGCCGTGTCTACCGTACGCACAAGCACATGCGCATCGTGGAGGCCGAGGAGAATCGACGAGTTCCGGTGGGTAGGCTTCGGCTGACGCTTAGGTGGCAACGCTTAATTTTTCAGCCTTGCTTTTTAGGAAATCTACCTGATCGAGACGCGCAGCTCGCAGTGCGGCTCCCGCGTCACCACGCACCACCTCACGAGGGACTGACCGACCAGTTTAACCAGTTTTTAAGACAGTTTACGATTCCTCTGTGTGTACCGTTAATAAAGTGCTGAATGCATTTACTTACATATTTATCGAATTTGCATACCAAATCTGCAAAAATTAAGAACCCGATGCTATGTGGTCTGTGACTAGACAAATTTGGAGATTAGGGTTCTGGGATCCAGATTTTCGGAATTTGTACAATTGGTAAGATATGATAGGGGCAAATCTAGACGGAATTTTTGTCTTCCAAGATGCTGAGCGCTTCTGCGTCGACTTTGTCGCCACGCGGGTTGGATCGGGTCATTTTTGTGAATTCAGCCGGTTTGTCGTTACAGCAGAGGTAGAAGAGACCACCGGCCTGAAAAAGAATTGTTTTGCGCAAATATTGCGTAAAATGCGTAAAAGTAAAAGTAATTGCGTAAAAAGCATCGTAAGGTATAACTCGTTGCGATACTACCAAGGGCCTGTTCTTGTAATAAGGATTCGTGTAATTTCACGCATTAATGGAAGCGTCACTCATGTTTAATTTTGAGGCCGAAGAACTGGCATTGGCAAGTCCACGTCACTTTAATAGATTTAACTTACAAAAATCAAGCATCCACCATTTAAATAAAACACATAGGACCATTGCTGGATGTCTAAAAAATACTTTTTATGGTTTTTTTCTCGACCGCTGCTCACCTGTCTCGTTCTCCACAAACAGATACCAGCTACATGGAGCTGTGATCAAGGCCACGCACTTCATAAACTGGATGATGGAGAGGACAAAGTGGGCGTATTGTCTGAATACGGTTACGGTAACTGGGGCAGCTTTTACTTTGACACTACGGTAGCTGCCTTCCAGTACCCGCCACAATTTGCGCCCATCGAGATGAAGATGGCGAAGAAGAGGACCTGAAAGAAAGTTTATATGTAAGAGAGAGAGAGAGAGAGAGAGAGAGAGAGAGAGAGAGAGAAGGAGAGAAAATCACAGCCTTAAAAACATACCACAGCTAATATTCCGTTAAACGCATCTTTCATTACGCCAAGTAAGACGAAAAATACTCCAGGAAGGCATAGAGCGAAGAAGTTGCATATTTGCAGCTTAGTAGCTTCGGAGAAGGCCCTAAATCCTTTGCACATCTTTATTAAGGGTTCCTTACTTCGACTTATCGCTAAAATACCCCGAAAAATATTTAATGGGCGCATGGCTGAAGGCACCGACGGCGGCAAGCATTCCCGTCGTCATCACGTCGAATTTGAGCACCTAAATGTCGGCATGATTCGGTGATTTTTAGGCCAAAAATTAACCGCTTACTTACCAGGTGTAGGTACATCGGCATGTACGTCATGATCAGCGTCAGGGTGGTGATCAGGGTCAAGCCGTTCAGGCAGATCACCCATACCGGCAGATTGCTCAGAATAGCCTGAAAAAGATCCACCTACTTATAGTTCGTCTCTAGAATTCGCTACCCTTTTACGACGTTACAAACGTAAGGCATTTTTTTAAAACGTACGATAAACGGCACGTAGTGATCAACCTCCAATTCTGCTTTGGTCTTGTTCTCCTGCAGCTTGGCGAGCTCTTTTTTGGTAATTTTTGGGTGCGAAGTGGGATCGTCGCGGTAGACGAACATCCAGACTATAAAGAGCTGGTTTTCATACATGCATTTTCGAAAAAAAAAACAGAAAATAACAAAAACTAGCAGAGATTATTTGAGACATCCAGCAAAAAACTCACGGACAAAAACCAGCCCGGTAGCAATGCCATGGGAGTAAAAAGCCCATCTCCACCCGATCGAGCTGCAAAACTGGGATACAATTTTTAATAACTGTATTTTATCTTACCCAAGCGGATGAGGTATTTGTTACAAATGTCGAAAAAGTAACGAATGACGTCATGACAGCGATCATCAGGCTCGTTTCGTCCACAGGAGCCCAGCGGACGGTAACGACGCCGATGGCAGAGAAATCGGCTGAGTAGGTGATGCCCTAGAAGTTGTGATCAAGGCTTGGGCTTAGGTTCAGGCTTTGCTTACGAATCACCTTAAGAATTTTAAAATCACATATCTCACCTGTATAACCCTCAAAACCAGCAGTCCAGGCAGACTAACTGAAGCAGTATAAGGTATCAATAGCGTAGTGATTGTCGATAGTATTCCAGCGGACAGGAAAGGGTATCTAAACGAAAGATATGAGTTACGGCAGCTGAATTCTACTTTGCACCCCATCGTATAAATGCCATATTATACGGAAAAGTCCCAATAATCGTCCCCAGGGCCACCGCCCAGATGATTAAGCTTTTTTCGGATGGATCGTAGGCGTAGCGGCTTACTAGGGTCTGAAAAAATATGAATAAGCTTTTAGTGTTAGATTGTAGTATTCAGTGTTACTATAGTGCAGGTTTCGCTATATTTTGTTAATAACAAGGTCTAACAAATGGTTTTTGACGGTTTTTAGCGCGAACTTACGCCATTTTCATTAATAACCGCATCAGAAAGATCCTCTTGCATACAAATAAACGTCATGTTAACAATTATATAGTTTGAGGCTAGCATTGATAGGCATAGAAATGCGGACAACACGATGAGTATCCGAAGCCGGTTTTTGAGCAGCTTCATCTTGGGCTCCTGAAATTTTTGGGGGTTGTTTTGGCGTGAAAACAAGGTGTTGAAGGAGTAAAATAAAATATCCATCCAATTTATAGACAATCAAATAACGGAGAATCCAATAAAAAAGCTTACTGCCCAAAAACTTTAACTCGGAACAGGTAAGGTCAAACCGGACAACACCCCCGACCACTCCCCCAAAAAAAACCCCACCAGAACAGCTGTCTTCGATTTTCGCGGGGGCCAGCGAAAACAGAACAAAAACGAAAATTTTTGCTCTTTTCCTGCGGAGAGGTGGTTGATTGGATTGAGGAGTTGAAGCGGCTTTTTTTTGAACGATGGAGCAGGAAAAACGACATTTCGTGCGGGGCGGGAATGACAAAAATTATTGAGACAAAGTTCAAGAGGGAACATGAAATTTTGGCTTCTCTAAATCGTGTACTTCGCATGGCCTTAATCGCCTACAGAAAAGGAAGGTAAAGTTTCAATCCGTGCCAAGCGGAACAAGGTTTTTTGAAGATCTAAATTACTAAAAAGCCTTTTTTCAACGTTTTCTCGCTCTTCTAACGTTCAAAATGAAAAACTATTGTGTAACTAATTGTGAATTCTATTTTAGGGCCGAAAATACAGCCGATTGTTACCCTCTAATTCGAATCGAGTACACCGGAAGTAGAAAATCCACGCGTCTATCAATATCCCCCGCCCACAAACACCTGAGATCGAGACGGATTGCGTGAATAGGTGCAAAAGGGAACCCTGATGCAGTGGTGATGTGTGGGCAGAGCGGGGGCAGCCAAAAAGATGGCGCCGAGATCGATGCACCCTAGCCGCGGAAGAGCCCCGGCTCATTGGAGGGAAGAATTGGGGGTGAAGCGGTACGAGAAGAGGTGCTCGTGTTTTTTGGGAGACGCTAACGAGATAGGCAAGGTCAAAAGTTTAGAGCAAAAAAAGCTTTGAAAAACTTTCTTTGCTTCAGATTTATCAACACTAAAGGTATCGAGAAGTCAGGTCTCCTAGGCTCGGCTTGGGTTGGGCTTAGGCTTCGGCTTAGGTTTAGGCATCGGTTAGGCTGAGGCTTAGGCTTGGGTTTGGCTTTTGGGGTTAAGTTCAGGCGGAGGCTTATTCTTATGCTGCGGGTTATGTCTAGGCTTATAGTTAGGCTTAGGCTGGGACTTAAGCCTAGGCTCAGCGTAGGCTTGTGCTCAAGTCATGATAAATTTGAAAGCTTGAAACTGAATTTCCGTGTATTTCCCAAAAGGCGAAAGAACGCCGCTGCTCGTAACGTCGACAATCACTCAATCAGTTTTCGTCGACACGACATGCTCACATCAACTAATCGGGGTGGAAGGGCTCCCGTTTTCAGTGATAAGCACGTGCTACCGCTGGAAATAGAGCCGCGACCTCTGGGTGCAAGTCAACCCCATTGTCGCCACAATTTTGGCTTCCTTGTCGGTCATTTTTGAGCATAACAGCGAGAAAAATAGAAGATTTATCGACCCAAAATAGTTTTATCCATAATCAGTTCCGGTTAAGTAGACTTTAGTCTTCGACACCTTGTTCGAGTCTTGTGTCAACCGCACCCGGGATCAATTGACAAGTGTACATTTTCGACGTCTTGTTGAGTTTCTTAGTGTAGAATTCCCCATAACAGCTCACATTCGGGAACGAGCACATGGTGTCCGGGCATGCCAAATATTCGATGGTGCTGCCACTGAATATGGTTTTTCTATGCAAAATTCGGTGTACCCCGAGTTAAAAATAAGCTTGATGGTCGCTGCTCGGTCATAACTGTAAAAATCTTTTGAAAAACCTACTCGCAATCGTAGCCCCGCGTCTGCGGTTCGGTCGGGCAAGTGCGGTTATGACTATATACACCATTCATCCCACAAGTTGCCGGACACTCGGTGGATGGACCCCAGCTGTTCCAGTTTCCTGTAAGACGAAGTGAAGCTCCTGTCTAAGCTCAGACTAAGCCTAAGCCGCATCCGAAACCTAAGGCTGGCCCTATTTCCTACCTCTTGCTCGCTCTCACTCTCGCGCTCACTCCCTTACTTTATCTACCTTACTTTGTCTGCTGTTCCACGCTTTCGCTCCCTCTTACTCTCTAGCTCTCTCTCTCTCTCTCTCTCTCTCTCTCTCACACTCATTAGCGCTCTCTCTCACTCTTTCTCGCTCTTTCTCGCTCTCTCGCTCGCTCTCTCGCTCTTTCTCGCTCTCGCTCTCTCTCTCTCTGTCTCTCTCTCTCTCTCTCTCTCTCTCTCTCCTGCTCTCACCATCATTTGCCACCTCCGTCGAGATATCCCCGCCAGGACAACCCATCGCCGAAATTGGATTCCGATCATAGACGTAGAATTCGATCGCGGCACTCCTGTCCGTAACAAGTATACACTCGTCTAAATATGCATTCAAAGCCCAGATATTTCCATTTCCTGGTACGTCCAGTTACAACCCACCACCCACAAAATTCATGCCCACACAAAACTCTTCATTCTCCAAACAGGCAATTGTACAATTTTCGATTTGCTCGTAGGATACGGTAGCACTCGACGATACGAGCACTATGACGTACGATTGAACTACAAAATACTGAAAACGCTAGGTATCCGGTGCAAAGGGAAAAACTTACAGCAAGAAACAAAATAGCAATAAAAAGAAATTTGGATGCCATTTCGGGGCTGGTCTTTGCGGCTAGCATGTCCATCTTCAAGCGGCTATATGTTTATTGTGCCCATTTCAATGGTTTCCAGGCGCTGCTCATCTTCGTGTAGGAATGTGACGTGTGTGGAATGGTGGGTTTTCCACGATATACTAATTACGGATAAGTTTTATGAGCTCAGGACGTTTCTCTGACGAACTTTGATGAGATAATATTATCATTTTGGCCCTCAAAAAACCTGTAAATGTACTTTCTTGGTCACCTGTAAATAGCTCAGCTCGTTTATTCAGCTCAAAATACTTAGTCGATGGTTGGACAAAATTTTTTTGACGTTTACTTTCTCATTGCTCTAGTCGCGGATCGACGGCCCCGGGTATGAGTTGACAAGTGTAGTCCTTCGTCTTCAATTTGTCCAGCCACTTTCGATAATTTTCATGACAGGGAATGGCAGGAAAATAACACAATTCATCCGGACATGCTTCGATGTCCAACGCGTTGCCGCTGAAAATGAGGAGCATTAATAGGGGGTAAAGTACAGAACACATTTCGGGCTTCCCAGCAGCACCTTAAGGAAAGGATGAGCCAATTTTGAGTGAGTCAGAGGTTGAACGAAGAATGGGGAGACAGAGAGATAAATAGAGAGAGAGAGAGAGAGAGAGAGAGAGACGAGAAAACTTACACGCAACCGTAGCCTCGTCGCTGAGGTTCTGTAGGGCAAGTCCTCGTCCGCTGGTAAATCCCGTTCATGCCGCAGCTCGCCGAACAAGTGCTGAACGCGCCCCATTCGTTCCAGTTCCCTGCAGGTTATAAGACTTTAAAAAATTTGTGGCCTGAACTTAGGCTTAGACTTTGATAGGCTTCGGGTTGGGCTTAAGATTGGACTTAGCTTAAGCTCCCTCATTTTCTTCTTACCATCATTGGCGACCTGCCCCTGAACACTCCCATCAGGGCATGCAAGTGTGGATCGGTCGCTGCGATCGTAGAGGTAGAAATTCATCCTGTCGTCGCTACGATTGGTTACTAATTCGCAGGTATCTAAATGCCCGGTTCTTTAGGATTTCCAGGGGGGAAACCAAATAAACTATAACCAAAAAAGTTAGAAAAATGTTTGAAAAAGTCGAAAATTTGGTCATTTTGGGTCTTCCCCCCCCGCTAATCCTAAAGGTTCGATAAGACTTTTCGACCTAGAATTAAATTTCTTAATTAAAATGTGGGTAGTTTTTATGCTCAGGAATAGTTAAAAACCATTTGGAAACGCAAGCGCTATTTAGAAAAAATTTAGTCTTGGGCCGAAAAAATTTGGTCCCCCCCCCAGAAATCCTAAAGAACGAAATACCCTTACGAGAACGTCTGCTGGACTTACCAGTCTCAATATAAAACCCCACACAAAAATCGGTACTGTTCAGACAATCCAAAGTACAATTATCGATCTCATCATTTTGTAAGGTATTTGCATATGGTCCAATAGGCATCACAAGTACAGCACGATAAGCCGACAGCGTCTTAAGAATAATTTGATATATTTTACGTGCTGAAGCGTACCAAAAATGCCAAGCCCAACACAACCAGCATGGCCAGAGATTTCGAGTGAATTGCTTGAGGCACAGAAGCAGAGAATTTTCCCGTTCCCTGGCGCCGATGATTTTTAATGGCTTCACGCCTGAATGCTAAATAAGAAAAGCGCACGTAGGATTTTTAGAAGGATTTAGAATTTCCTGATCCGGCGCGTATTGACATTCCCCGTGATGGGCTGACAGGTGTAGCGCTTGTTCATGGTGTTCATTTTTTGGCATAGTTCTCTAGCGAGAGAGACATAGAGAGAGAGAGAGACTCTTGCAAATTCTACAAATAACATCTTTATTCCGGATCATTCTTCGAGCCTCGGGTCGGTAGTGTTCGGTGTTTGTGCACAACCGAATCTTTTTGTACCGGGAACGAGCGCTTTTTCGTAATAAGGATGGTAGCACGTCGATCGGCTCATTCCCATGCAAAGTGTAGATGGGCAGGCTACCACGTTGATGGAGCTTCCTCTCAAAATACCGGCAATTCCACTCAGAGTACCGATAATCTTCGAGAAGCAGAAAATAGCGAAAACACGACGCAGTTTGCATGGCTTAATGGTTTTTCAAAACCTACATGCAATCATAGCCACGAGCTTCCGAATCTGGGGGGCAAGTCCGATTTCGAGTAGCGGTACCGTACATGCCACAGGTCGTCGAGCAGTCAGAAAATGGGCTCCACTCACTCCAGATTCCTGAAAAGGGATATCTTGCTCTGGTTCTGGTGTGTCCTCCCCCTGCCTGACTCTGTATCCCTGTCTCTCTCCCGCGCTCGCTCTCTCTCTCTCGCTCTCACTCTTTCTCTCTCTCGTTCTCTCACCTACCATCAGTTGCAATTTCCCCTAAAATATCTCCATCCGGGCAGGATAACATCGTTTCACCCGTTCTATCATAAATATAGAAGTTGATCCTAGTATCGTTTCGATCGGCAATTAGCTCGCAGATACCTTCAAAAGTACCGGAAGTGCCTGCGAAACCTACCATTCTCGATAAAGAGTCCAATGCACAGCTCCGAGCTCTGCAGACAAGCTATGGTGCAGTTATCGATTATTTCGGCCGATAGAATCGTGTTTAATTCGAGCGGAACCACTAAGACGTTTTCGTAAGCAGCGAAATTCTTTATTTAATCAACAAAATGCGCTGTAACAAATTCCTACTAAAACGAGGATGATGTTCCCGAGTAGAGTGAAACACATCGCATGAATAAACGTGCAATAATGCAATTTCTTGCAGCGGGATTCCGCGAATTACACCGTTTCCAGGCGCTATTTGGCTTAATGGGGCGCTGGTGCTAATAAATCAACCATTTTTACGCGTCTGCATTGTATTTTTTGGTTCCGGTGCCATGGCCCTTGTGAGTGACGCGTGAATTGGGCCATTTGGTTGCAAATAATTTTTTCGGTGGAACGAGCTCGGCTTTCGGGCGATAATCTAGTGGGATGCCGTAAATACCTTAAAAATCACGCAAAAAAATTTTTAATTCTAAAACGTGTTTTTTTCCGAGTGATTAAATGTATGTTTTCAAACGTAGTGCGAGCCGTAAGAAAACTGCGTAATTCATTTATGTTCGAAGTTCTCTAAATTTTAATGCAAATGCTCTCCCCGATCGTCTTCTGGATCCAGGCGCAGAATTTCGAAAGGGCGGTGTAGGAGGCTAAATCGTGACCTGGGTACCGTAATCTGAAGACGCGCACTTACAAGCATAGTTTTCATTAGTACACTCATTTTCGAGTCCGCTGGAAACAACACCGATTTGGATTCGGGTGTCATTGCGAGTGACAAAAAGCGGACTTCCGGAATCCCCCTAAACTCTGGCAACCGTGGATGATGTCATTAGCGTTTTGAGAAGCTAAAAATTGCCCCACCTCACAAGGTCCATTCCCTTTTTTGAATCCACAAATTGCGGTTTTTAGAAGTTTTCCGGGAAACTGCTGCGTGCAATGAAAATAGCTCCATAGGGAGACTGTTGTGTGCAAGAGTTTTTCGGAGTGTTCGGAGCCTGAAAGTTAAATATACGTAATGCCAGGAAGTTACCCTAAAGTCTAGGCATTAGTCTAAGCTTTAGCCTAAGCCTAAGCCTAAGCCTAAGCCTAAGCCTAAGCCTAAGCCTAACCTAAGCCTAAGCCTAACCTAAGCCTAAGCCTAAGCCTAAGCCTAGCCTAAGCCTAAGCCTAAGCATAAGCCTAAACCTAAGCCTAAGCCTAAGCCTAAGCCTAAGCCTAAGCCTAACCTAAGCCTAAGCCTAAGCCTAAACCTAAGCCTAACCTAAGCCTAAGCCTAACCTAAGCCTAAGCCTAAGCCTAAGCCTAGCCTAAGCCTAAGCCTAAGCATAAGCCTAAACCTAAGCCTAAGCCTAAGCCTAAGCCTAAGCCTAAGCCTAAGCCTAAGCCTAAGTCTAAGCCTAGCCTAAGCCTAAGCCTAAGCATAAGCCTAAACCTAAGCCTAAGCCTAAGCCTAAGCCTAAGCCTAAGCCTAAGCCTAAGCCAAAGCCTACGCCTAAGCGAAGCCTAACCTAAGCCTAAGCCTCAGCCTAAGCCTAAGCCTAAGCCTAAGCTTAAGCCTAAGCCTAAGCCTAAGCCTAAGCCTAGCCTAAGCCTAAGCCTAAGCATAAGCCTAAACCTAAGCCTAAGCCTAAGCCTAAGCCTAAGCCTAAGCCTAAGCCTAAGCCAAAGCCTAAGCCTAAGCGAAGCCTAAGCCTAAGCCTAAGCCTAAGCCTAAGCCTCAGCCTAAGCCTAAGCCTAAGCCTAAGCCTCAGCCTAAGCCCAAACCTAAGCCTAGGCTAACAAAAGTTCAAGCTTGTGAATCTAACCTACCAATTGTCCCTCCCCATCCGATGACCTGCGACTCAACCCCTTCTCCTATAAGCTTTTCGTTATTTTCCGCAATTTCTATCGGCCGGATGTTCCGCGAGAAAACCAGACGACGAGACAGCTGAATAAATATTGACATGCAGAACGGTTTTTATGACCCTGACGAGAGCAATATCATTAACCGCAAATTCGTATTTTCCATTGATCGCGTAGTCCTCTTCGAAATGGTAGTCAGGGTGGATACGGAGGGCGGAGGCTTTGATCGTTTGCTAAACTTTATGATTTTTTTCGGAATTTAGATCATATTCTTACCATACTTGGAGATTGGGGATCGATATCGCCAACCCTTACGAGAACCTCAGCCGGGTTTGAGGTCCTGAAAAGAATTCAGGAATCTCGGATTAAGATTTTTCTGCGCTAAATCTGGCTATAAAGGGGCTCGGACAGATCAGGATCAATGACTACTGGAATCGATAACGCTATGTAAAGATCGCCACAGTTTTCCGAAGTCTTTCCAACCCTGGCAGACACTAAAGGGACTCGGACACTTCAGCATAGATGTCTACTGGCAATTTTCCAATCGATTACGCTATGTAAAACATGTCAGGATCCGCTTCTAGAACTTACAAGCTATGTAGACAATGCCCAGCCGTCAGAATCCATTCTTCATGCATAATCGAAGCACCACAAGTTGAGGATCCAGCTCTAAATACATTTATTACGCTAATAAACAATTTCTTTACCCGACATACACCTCCAAATGGGCAACGAACGGGAATTCCGAGACGCTTTTTGCCCGGATTCCATTCGTTATAGCATCCAATGTCTCGAAATTCAGAAATACCAGAAATTTTAATATAAAAGCAAAATGCATTCGAATATGGATGCATTTCCCTTCAAATTTTCTCACTGTTTCGTTCTATATTTTGATTCGTCAGCCGTCATACCGCTGATTCATGCCATAATTTCCCATAATTCCCATAAATTCTCAGAAATTGAAGCAACAGGTCTTCCTTCCCTTTTTTGGACTTTAAATGGGTACAAATCAGAGCATATCCTGCCTGTCAAAAGTATCTGTTTCTTGCATCACTAAATTTCCGTGGCTTTTTGTGTGCCCTTTCGTACCCGCTACACAGGACCGCAGAAGGTCGACACAAAATGGCATAGTCTGGGGGGTATAAAAGCAGGCCGTGCGTTGGTTTGGGACCACGAATGTTCTCGGATTGCTCCTAAAAAGACGCTTTCACCTTTTAATATACAAAGCCTTCGTTTTACTTTTACTCATCAATTTAGAATCCGGAAAACCACTGTGTTTTTGGAGACTTTTTTCAGGGTACTGACCCGCCGATCTTTGTCCTTCTCATTCCCAACCTCAAGATTGTTAAAGAAAAGAGGCTCGATTTCTCGGGGAAGTTCCGCCAGTTCCGTTTACCAAAGAATAAACAAAAAATTCTGGCTGCTCTCATGGCCCTCATGAGAAACTTTTTGTTTATCCTAGGTGCATCTTGGGCAAAGGCTTCAAAACTCAAGGCTGGGTGCGGGGGGGATCTGGACTGTACTTTACTTCTATTTTCGCTCGTTTTCCCTCAGTCAAAACCTAGGGCTGGGCCTAAGCCTAAACCCACGCCTAATCCAGCCAAGTCCAAGTCAGCACTAAGCCTAAGCCAAGCCCAAGCCAAAGCCTAAGCCTTGGCCGAATAAGCTTAAGTCCAAGCATAGGCTAAGCTAACAAGGAGTGCCTTTTTTGAGTCATCGGCAAAACCTAACGAGACCTAGCTCATTCTATCGAGAATTAAATTCTGAGCAAGTCACCGTTATCCTTTTTTGCAGAATGGCTATCCCTGATTTTATAAAATTAAAATACTGGTGGCCGTCTCTTACCATGAGTGCCTGTCGAGCAAAAAAAAGGCTTTTGGGCGCAGTTTTAAATTTTTATAAAATGAGTGATAGCCATTCCGCAAAAAAGGACAACGGAGTCTTGCTCAGAATTTAATTCTCTATCGAATGAGCTAGGTCTCGTCAAGTTTTGCCGATGACTAAAAAAGCACTCCTTGTAAGCTAACGCTGTAGTTAATCCTAACCAATCCGAACCGAAGTTGAAGCCTATGGCGAAGCCCCGAACTAGGCCTAACCCATGTCAGTAAAATAGCTCTGACTTCCCAGTCCTCTAAAAATATCTAGCGGGGCTCTTTTAAGATAAAAACCTCCATTCCAAATCACAATCCATCGTCATCACTCACTATTGTCCCCCAGCCGTTCCGCCCGGTCCGAAATTGAGCGATCGCGCATTTTCCGTTTCGACCTTGCCGGGTGCATTTTTCTCTCCCAAAAAGGGCCGCCCGGGTCCAATTTCATCCGATTAACCGCCGCAAAAATTCAGTGTTGCTACCCGGCGTTCCACGGGGCTTTGAATTGAAACTTCACTTTACAAAATTTCCAGTTCCCGCTCGTGAATTCTGCGCAAAATGAGCTTGGAAGGACTGATCCGCGGCGGAATCGAGGCTGTTGAACAGGCGTTCAAGGATAAGGATTTGGAGAAGTGAATTTTGTAATTATTTAAAGGGATCAGGAAGCGAAAAATTCGACCCAGGCTTTTGACTAGGCCTGGACAATTCTTACATCTGTTTACGTGGAATTCGGATTTATGCAGATTCCTGAGCCACTACGCTTCCAACGCTGTAATCGTCGACGCCAAGCAGAACAAACTTTTTGTTGGAACCGAGGGTATGTGCTAATTTGTCTATAAAAGTTTATATAATATTTTTAGCCATCACCGGGCTCTTCAAGGAGTGGGCTGCTTTTGGAGCCTTCACCAATAAGGTTCGTAGGTTTAGGAGAGAGAGAGAGAGAGAGAGAGAGAGAGAGAGAGAACCTTCAAGAGAAACACGATTTAACTAAGTAAATAATTATTAAGAACACCAACGAGACCTTCGAAGGCTCCGAGCAGATCATCCGCTACTCTGCCACCAGCACCATCACCTTCGAGGGAGGCAAAACTTTCGTCACCAACTTTGTTCAGGTCTGTATCATTTTATTTATAAACACTATCAAAGTCTTAACGGCTTTACACTAAAACTGAAAAATGAAGGCGTTACTACTCTTTTAGTACTGGCGCAAAGTTGACGGCAAGTACGTTGTGGAAACGGATGTTTTTGACATTGTCAACTGATGGAACGAAGCGGAAATTCACGCAACAATTTTCTGGGAATTAATAAATAGTTTTAATTGTTGGATGTGAATGAATGCATAGAATTTGAGTTTTTTGGTGTATTTTGTGCGCCTATTTTGCAGCGCCTGCGTTGATCCTTCACACACGCGTAGGAACAGTCTTTGCTACCTTTTTACCTTTCGTAAGTATTTTTTTGAAAATTTACAAAACTGCAAAATATGGGTAGACTATAGCCTGGCCGGCTGAATTTATCATCATCACGATCTCGGATCGGGCAACCGGAAAATTGGCAGGCCGGCGCCATTTTTTGGTCCCGCTGCGGCAATGATAGCGGTTGCAGGGTGCGCAGTTTTTGTTGAAGAATTGGGAAAGAATAGAAATAATAAATAAGAAAAATCTGGGAATAGCTAGATACAAAATCTGGAGCTTGCAGCGGTTTGAGTCGGGTGAAGGAGTTGAAAACAGGATTGTTAAAGTTTGAAACAGTTTGAAGGCTGCAAAAATCTTCCTTTAGAGATTAGGGTTGTTTAGGTTTCTTTAAATCTCCGAAATGTTCTGTTACTTTAGCTTAAAAAGCGGCAGTTTTAGAAAAGCCAAAATCATCTGGTCCGTTCTGACCGCACTCGGCAATTCCCGAAATTGCTTTTTATGCCGTAGCGGCTCGTGTTTCCGTCCCGGGTTCGGTGCATTATTTGGGCCAGAAACTCAGGTGGTGGCCATTTTTTTTCAAATTTTTCGAATGCAATGCGGTTGTCTTTGTTATTGGCACTGTTCCTAAAAGTTTACGAAGCTTCCGCAAAGCCAAACGATCTCCAAGCGCTTTATAATGCGCTCTTCGTCTCCGGGAATTACACGAGGGAGTTGGCGCCGGTTTCCGGGGACCGAGGTGACGTAATTGATTGCCAAACACCTGTCCGAAAATCATCTGTCCAAAAAACACCTGTCCGAAAAACATCTGTCCGAAAAATCACCCGTACGAAAAAACATGTGTCCGAAAAAACACCTGTCCGAAAAGTCGCCTTTCCGAAACACCCCAGTCCGAAAAACTATGTCGAAGCACCAACAAAACCCTTTTCGAATTACTTAGTCGTTCCTAAAGGTTCGAGGTGTAATGCCACAGATACCCCACGTGGGGAGCCCCGGAATCGGACCAAACCAAGTTACATCGGCTATCTTAGGGAATGCCTGCCCGAGCTCATTGAGTCACTCTCCAAAAATTTATGATACAATAGCGGTTCGTATCCCCGGAAACTACCCTCCCATTTTCTCACAAATGCGGTTTGAATAGATTACCTGAAGGTCTTGGGAAGTTTCAGTCGCACTACGATTCCATGGTCCGAAATTTACTTTTCGGACAGTTGATTTTCGGATGGATGATTTTCGGACAGGCGATTTTTCGGACAGGCGACTTTTCGGACAGATGTTTCGGACAGGTGATTTTCGGACAGGTGTTTTCGGACGGATGTTTTTCGGACAGGTGTTTTTCGGACAGGTGATCGCCACCCGACGTAATTTGATTATCTACGTAAAAAATGATGCTTTTAGCTGGCCAAATCAACTTAATGATCGAGATGGCCTATATGAGACTGGTGGAAATCGTAAGGAATTATCTAAATTATTTTTATCTTTGCGTTTAGAATTCCGAAAATCAACAACTAAGCTTGGTGATTGAGCTGGCAAATGTAAGTTCATAAATTTCGTCAATTTTCTACGGAAGTTAAGTAGCTTACACTTACTAGACTGCTTAGGTTTGCGCTTAGGCGTGTGCTTCTGCTTGGGCTTGGGCTTAGGTTTCGCTTAGGCTTACGCCTAAGCGTAGGCTTGGGCTTGCGCTAAGGCTCGGGCTTAGGCTTGGGCTTAGGCTTGGGCTTAGGCTTGGGCTTTGCTTGGGCTTGCCTTCCCACAATCAAACCTTTACAGTATTGGAACGACGATCGACTACGCTGGGATCCTAAGGACTTCTCCGGGATTGAAAACCTATACATTAGTGCATCAATACTGTGGATCCCGGATTACGCGCCTACGGACAGGTTCTTTTTAAGATCAAAGTTTCTAAAAAACCCTTAAAGCCAAAAATTCGAAAATGTGTTCCCGGAGAACCAGCGAAACGCCCGTGTTTCCTGGAATGGAACAATTTTTTACGAGACGATAATGTTTATGATAGCTTCTTGTAGGCTAGAGGTAGGCAAATACGGCAAAGATTATTATAAAAACCCCTTTAGATGCAAGACTTCCCGTTCGATCGGCAATCGTGTGCGGTTGGGCTTCAGAATCATCACATTCTAAAGCCAATGTTGACCATGGAGAGTAGGATTTCTCCAACAATGGATCCTTCTGTTTATGAGGTAAGAAAGGGCCAAGCTAAGCCTAAGCCCAAGTCAAAGCGAAGCCTAAGCCTGAGCCCAAGCCGGAGTGTAAGCTCAAGCCTAAGCCTAAGCCCAAGCCCAAGTCAAAGAGCCTAAGCCTGAGCCCAAGCCTAAGTCTAAGCTCAAGCATAGGCCTAAGCCCAAGCCTTATCTAAACCTAGAAACCCTTCAGGGAAACAGCGAGTGGTGCTTCCTGAACATCTCCAGCAATTTGACAGGCGTACCAGAGGAGTTGACCATGGTAGAAATTTTAAAATAAGCTGAAGTCCATAATTTTGAGGCTGGCTTCGTTTTCGTCTTGCATCGAGAGCCGCTGTTCTATGTATTTGTGGTTATTTTCCCCTCATTTTTGCTGACGACACTCGCGAATTTTGGCATGTTCTGGTCGGCGAACATTAGGGAGAACAAGTTGGAGAAGGTCAGTAGCTGGTTCAAAATAAGAAAGTTAGGAAAATCATCTAAGATGGGCCTCGGCTTGGCGAGCATGATGGCGATGACCGTCATGTTAGACTTGGCGTCGCAGCAGATACACAAGACCGCAGCTTTTCCGCTTTTGGGTGAGAGAGAGGGAGAGAGAGAGAGAGAGAGAGAGAGAGAGAGATAGAGAGATAGAGCGAGATTGATAGAGGGTGCGAGAGTGATACTGCCGATTTTTTTTCTTTGTCCCAATTTTAACATCTGTTCGAAATTGGGCACTAACGATACATACTTTCTATAAATTTAATACATATGCTAATAACTCTATATTTTCAGGATATTACGTGATCATCTGCACCGCGATTATAGCGCTTGGGTGTGTGAGTATCGCAGTACTTTCAAATGGCGCCAGCAGACCGCTGGAGCGGAAACCGAAGTGAGCCACTACATACTGTCATCAATTTTTCTGAACTGGAACTAAAGACAGGTTGTAAACTCTCAGTTTTAGGCGCACTTTCCTTGCCCGAGTTGAGCAGTACGTCTTCACCAGGTCGTTCTTTGCCCAGCTCTTCTTCCAGGGGCTGAACATTGTGAATTTGATCTATACCCTGTCGCACTGGAAAAACTATCATTAAAAAGCCAAAAAAATTATTTATCCGTGTTTTTTTTTGTCAAATAAAAGCATTCGTTCGTCAGTAGTTTCTGCACGCATGTGTCCGTACACACCTTCGAATTCGATGACTATCATTAGTGCACCGATATAAAAATGTTCCAGTTTCTGAAAAATCGATACCAACAGCGTCGATTGATACGACCAAAAATTTACGTTGAAATAGTCCAAGGCATTCCCCTATTTTAGCTTATTTTATTCCATATAGGTGTAAGCTTCCAAATCTCCGATAACACTGGCTTACCAGTAATGCATCCAAATCACAGGGTTAAACTTTCTAAACATCAATACCAACAGCTGCGATTGATTGCTAATCGCCTCCCGAACGTTTTTTTGAACGTTCTGTTCGCTGCCCTCGCCTAAACCACGCCCTTACTACCGTATCCCTCCCGGGCAGTACCTGCAGTGTACGCGGGCAGACAACAAGAGTGGTGGTCCGAGGGCCCCCAGGCACATTTGTATCCGTCTTTTTAGACCAACCTCCAAAAAAACGCCGGATTCCGCACAGAGCATCGGTGCCAGATGGCCCGGCTGGCTCTGGTTAAACTTTTCCAGGGCTTCATTAATCAACTTTACACCCTTCGTTTCCTATTAGACGTATACGGTGGTATTCGAAGCTTCAGATAACAGTCCGGCTGGTCGCGAGAAAATGGGCCCGCAGGGAAAGACGGTGACGAATGAGCTGGATCTGATCGCGGCCAGGAATTCCGGTGAGTTCGGAAAACAGGTGAACCGAAAATTAGCATACCGAAATGTATGCAAATCTTGGCTCTTGCCAATGAGGTTGCAGGTGACCTTTTTAGCCCAGCAGTTTTAGCTTATTTCGGTTTGGCGTGATGTTAAGCACGTACAATTTATTAACCGCTTTTCTGGATTCAAATCTATAGATATATAACATCCTTTCTTGTAGCCAATCGGAGCAGCACTTCGGCGAAGAAGGAGCGCGAGAAGGATCAGGAAAAGTGTAAGTACCTAGATGAGCGTAATAACTAGCTTTGTAAGATACATTTCTTCCTGTTTGTTGAGAATTAAAAAGAAAAAGTGGCTTTATCTAGGTCCAGATTTTGATAAATTAAAAAAATAGTCCCAATTTCAGCATCTCGACAACGTTCCCCGGATCGTCGAAAGGAGCGTGAGCGGTCAAGGGAAGACCCGAGGTAAAAACAAGCATCAGCTTTTGAGGTTGAATATCGAGGTTCAGGACCCGAACTGACAGTAGACGACCACGAGAAGCCGATCGGGGGCGAGATCGAGAGAAGGAGAAGCCGAGAGAGGATAGAAAAGACGATCGAAAAGACGAGCGCCGCGATGAGAGGAAAGACGATAGAAGAGAAGACCGGAAAGATGATCGAAAGGACGATCGAAAGGATGATAGACGCGAAAAGGATGCGCGAGACCCACGAGATCGAGATGTAAGAGACAGGTAACAATTGATACCGTATTTCACCGTAAAATGTAAACTTTAGAAAACGCTCCCCGGATCGCACTCGAGATTCCAGAGAAGCGAGAGACCCTCGAGACCGTCCGGATTCTGGAAGACGCCGAGTGGAAAGATCGGAGCCAAGGAGGGAGGAGAGGAAAAGTTAGTTTTTTTATGGTCCCAAAACTTACAGCATTTGAGTAAAGCTGTCAGCCAGTTAGATTCGAATTTAGAATCCGATAGCACCGACCCTCGGGCTGCCAGCAAGCGCGTGAAAGCTATCGACGAATCTTCTTCAGAAGGGGAAGAGTTCGAGGTGGCGCCGTCGATTTTTGGCAAGCCGGTTCGTTTAAAATTAGCTCAAAAAGTTTAACGCTTTCTCGATGCTTTAATGTGATATTAGAGTAAAACAAGTTGCACTCTGAACTACTTTTCAGTTGCCATCAGCCAACGAATCGGGCAAGAAGTCGAAGAAGCGGAGCAAGGCAGGCGATGTAAGTCTAAATCGGCTTATCGTGGAGATACCGCAGCGTCAAACATACCAAAATATTCCTCTCACTTTGGAGAACACCATCGAGACAACAGTGCATATTTCCCTCAGTTAATCGCAGAAAAACGCCAAAATGTCGGCTGCACTTTTTGGGAAAGCGTGTATCATTTTCGGCCATTTTTTCAAAGAAATCCATCGGGTACTTCTCGAAAACCACCGCCTTTCAGGAGAACAACTCCCCAACAACCTCCCAATCGGCGGATGCTGAACTGACAAATGCATCACTCGACGCTAGCTCCCAACTCCCAGATGCCTCTCCACCATCGCCTTGTGAAAGCGATGTGGGGTTTATCGTATTTTAAAATGTCACCTATTCACCCAATTTTAGTGTAGTCGCTGGTAGTAGTCGCTGGCTTTTTTCTGGAAATTTCCGGCCCCGGGCAAGGGGTAGTTTTTGGCCCGACCATAATTACCCGCACCTTGGCAACGATACCAAAAAGGTTTCGCCTGCCCGCGGGCTTAGAAGGGAATACACAAATCTAACGAATTTTGCAGAAATTAATAATTTGACCTTGTTATTAAAATAGCTCTGATGTGTAGCATACTCTCTTAATCTTAAAACCAATTTTTTTTTCAGATGGATATCGATTTTACCGAAGAAGCCCCGGTCGCGAGCAGCAGCACCAGTAAGGCGAAATCGGGGCTCGAAAATTTTATGCCAAACGGATATAACGCGAAGCAATCATTGGAAGCCAAGACGGCATCGTTTAGACAAGGTTCGAAATGACTTAAGCCGAAGCATAAGCCTGAGCGTAAGCCTAGCCCCAAGCCTCCGCCCAAGTCGAAGCTTATCACCTAACAAGGAGTGCCTTTTGGGTGTCATCGGCAAATTCCTTCGAGACCTAGCTCATTCGATAGAGAATTCGATTCTGAACAAAACCCCGTTGTTCTTTTTTGCAGAATGGCTATCCCTGATTTTATAAAATTTTAAAACTGCGCCAAAAAGCATCCATTTTGGCTCGAAAGGCACTCATGGTAAGAGACGGTCACTAGTATTTTAATTTTATAAAATCAGGGATAGCCATTCTCAAAAAGGAACAACGGGGTTTTGTTCAGAATCGAATTCTCTCGAATGAGCTAGGTCTCGAAGGACCGATGACACAAGGCTCGTCTAAACCTAACGAAACTTTCATTTTCAGCCCTTGAGCGCTGTGCAATGCCCGGACTAGACCCTGGTTTTCCTCCGGATCCCGAACAGGTCAGAAACAGCTTTGCATTTTTTGAATTCCTCAATTTTTAATTTTTTTAGTCAACTTTTGAAAACCTGGACCTCGGATATATCGAGGAGCCGAAAGAAAGAGAGCGCAGATCTTTTGCGGAAAAATACAAGGTATGACGTTTTCCGGAAGCCTTAAGAGGTTTTTTTTCAGAAAGAAATCCACGACAAAACCAAGGACATTGTGGTGCAGTGGTATTACGACAAGATGATCAGCAAAGAGGAATACAAGGATGTGAGTTTTTAAGATAGCGCGCCTAAATCTAGGCATAAGCAGAAGCCTAAGCCTAGGCCTCATTCTAAGTCAAGGCGACGTCTAAGCCTAAGCGTGAGCCGCTTAGGCTAAGGCCTACGCCTAAGCTTGGCCCAAGCTGCCTAAGCCGAAGCGTAAGCCTAATCCAAGCCTAATCCTAAGCTTAGGGCTAAGCCTAGGCAAAGCCTAAGCTGCTTAAACTAAAGTCTAAGCAAAGCCGAAGCCGCCTCAGCCGAAGCATAAGCCAAACCCAAGCCTAATCCTAAGCCTAGGTCTAGGCCTAAGCCTAAGCCCATACCCATCCAAGGAACCTAAAAAAAATTATTTCAAAATTTTTCAGATAATGCGCGACATCGTCAAACCCTGCCTCAAATACCGTATCCGGTCCCGCGCCGAGATCCGTGACCGAGCCCAGAAAATCTTGGCCGAGTACCGTAAAAAGGTCCGGTAACCGAGATGCCGTCTAGGGAGCGACCCCGAGGCAATACCCTGTTTGATTATAGTTGCAAATAATGCTAGAAAAGCTGTGTATTTCGTGTGCTACAGAATACCACTTAAATATATTCCTTGAAAATGCTGCGCTTTGCCAAAATGCTACTGTAATTCCACCCCCATCACATCTACGTCATCACCATGTCACCGTATCTTTCGTGTTGCTCTGCATTTTTTTTCTTACATCGTGTGCTTGTGAGGTCGCTGGATGCGACGTGTGTTTTCGTGTGCGCGTGCTAATAAACGAGGTTCGACTATGTAAATTAGCGTAATTTGTGATTTCATAGACATAAAACTACACATTTTCAAGTTTAATTAACAAAAAATCCTCAAAATTTGCATCTTTGGGCTTGTATTTATCATGCTCTTCGACGTTTTGACGCAATTTGAAGAGCGTTAAAGTCTGAAATTAAAGCGATAAGATGCAAATATACAATTCGAAGCTGACCCATAAAATCGCACAGCTAAACCAGTTAAATCCTATATTTTTCGTACTAAAAACTTATATATAAAACCCAAATTCAGGCTCAAATATGGAAATGTATACGTAAAATCTTATTAACTGCTAAAGGCCCGACAAAATACGATATTTTTGCCCCAGGAACTGGCTTAAAATTGAAAATTCAAGCTGATTGGTGTAAATTTATATATACCAACTTAATGACTGCCCAATTCATTATAAAGACGGTATTATAATGCTCAATTTCCCCTTTTCCAAACTTTCAAACTTTCCGCCCTACTCCAACTTCCGTTTCACAGCCCGAGAACGGAAGCCACGTAATGCCGTTTTATCTGGCAGCCTGGAAGGGGAGTTATCGCAGCTTCTTCTCCGAAGACGTCACGCCCTCAAGCACTCCCACCGTCTGCTGTCAATCTGGGCGACGCCTGGCCCTGGACTTGCTGACCCCTAGGAAGTAGGGTTTAGATTTTTTGAAGGAATTATTGCAACCTAACCCTTTTTGGCCTGAACTCTGTGAGACATCCTGGAAAACGTGCTTTGCTTATACATGGGAAATTTCAGATTTTGTGCTATACTTTCGCGCGGAGGAGCTTGGCCGAATGTCGAAAACAGGACCTAGAAAAACTGAATCTAGAAGATCAGGATCTCGAATTCTCAAAACCAAATTTTCGAGGTATCGGTTTTTCAAAATAGCGAATTTTTAGCATCTTGGTTCTGTAAACTGTCTTTTCTGAAGATGGAGGGCCTAGGCTTGCAGGGCCATAAGAAAATTATGCAAATTGCGCTATTCTGAACATTTCTAGATCCTGCAAATTCGCGATTTTGAAAATGCAAGATCATAAAAATTTGGGGTTTTAGGAATCTGCTTTAAAAATGCAGATTCGAGAATCCGAAAACGTTTCGGCGTTGCCGGATTGGCCACAACATGTTTGGATGGTCGTTTAATAGAACATCTGTTCGTGTGGGCACCTTCATACCACAAGCCTCTTTGGAAAAGTGCCATCAAAGTCAGACGCCTAGATATGCTTAGCCTGGACGCCCAGTTAATTTTAAAAGGACTCGGAAGCGTCAGAATCGATGCCAAGGAATTAGCTGGGTGTCGACAGCCACGGGTTGTTCCAAAATCCACCTTTAGGGCTTATTTTTTTGGAAAAACGGTGCGCTAGATGAGAGAAAAATGGATGGTCCCTTGTCATCGTCATTTGGAACATCGTGTAGTTGTCGACGCCTAGAGGGTGAATTTTCGCTTTCTAGTAGCTTTAAGGCAGCTTTTTAAAAAGCTTGCTGCATTGTTAAGGTAATTTCCTGATGAAGCTCACGAACTTGGGAAAATATCTCTCTCTCGCCCTTTCGTTCTAGTCATCTTTCTCTCTCCCTGCTCTCTCAATTCATGAAAAATGTTTGCCCCATCTCTCTGTCTGTCCCTCTCCCTTTAAAAGCCCACACCACAACCACCAGAGCTGCAATCCCCCAGATTGCATGTGTCAAACCAAGAACAACCCAAGAGGGAAAATAAGCATTTGTGGGCCCTCTTGGGCCCTGAGGGCGAGGAGGCCCAGCCACTCCCTACTGCTGCCAACCCGGCTGGGGTCGACGGGCTTTTGCTGGAGTTGTGGGGTCGGTGTTGGGGGAATGGCTGGGGGCCCTGGGGGTATGAAAGGGTCTCGATCGATGCCTGGGCTACATAACGCTTTTCCTTGCCTTTCCCTGCGCACGCTTTCGCGTTCCTTTTAATGCTCTGTAACTCTGGGACTCTCTTGCGCGGGCTCTCTCACTCTCTCTCTCTCTCTCTTTCTCTCTCTCTCTCGCTGTCTCTCTATCTCACCAGCTCGGTCTTTCTATACCATCTACCGTAGCAAAAACACAGAAATCTTTCTAATGCAAATTCTTTCAGGAAGTTGCATTATTGGGTTTTTACCATAATACTACTAGTATAGATGGTTTTATAACCCCCTCTGCTTTCACCGACCATACACCCCATGTTCAACCACCAACACGTTATGTGTTTTACCCCGACAGCTGACGCAACAACTGACGCGCCCTGCGCGCTCGGGGGGTTGGGGTCTACGGGGGTTTGGGGCTACTAGGGAAAGGGGGGTTTTGGGCCTAGGGACCCCGGGGTTTTTCGGACCCCCCTACTAGGGAACCCCTACTAGGAAAAGGGGGTTTTGGGACCCCGGGGTTTTTCGGACCCCCTACTAGGGGACCCCTACTAGGGAAAAGGAGTTTTGGGACCCGGGGTTTGGGGGCCCCCAAAGACAACAGCTGACGTCAAACCGCATAAATAGCGACAGCTGACTTTCGACCGCGCAAAGATGGAAAGGCAGCCTTTCAAGTTTCAACACCCTTGCTCGATTTTTGTTTTCTGCCAATCGCTTGGCGGCAAAACTACATGGACAATGAAATTCCTAAAGTATCTAGAAAATATCTTGGAGGGTCACGAAAACGTTGGAGATATTTACTACTTTACAGGATCGAAAAGTGAAATTACAGCAAAATTTCCGAAAGTATCAAGTAATTTTCACATTTTCGAGGGTCCACCTACTGACGAACAAGTTTCTGGCCTAAAAAACGCTGTCGTGATACTTGACGACTTGATGCTCGACATGAAAGAAAAAGCGATGGCAGCTTTGACTTCGCGTGTTACCCACCACCAAAACTGTACGCTAATCTATCTTAGCTAAGACGCTTTTCGAACGCGGCGAACGTCGCGAGTCAACGCAAACTACATTGTGCTGTTGCGGTCTGTATCTGACCGTTTGCAGGCAAGACAGATAGGGTTGCAATGCTTCCCAAACCAGTTTAACTATTTTTGGGATAGCTACCTAGACGCAACGGCAAAACCCTACCAATATCTGGTAGTCAATTGTCACCCAAACCTCGAAAACCTTAACGAACGACTGGTTGCCGAGATTTTCCCAGATAAAAGGCAAATTTTTTACTTGCCCAAGTAGTCATTTGACAAAAAATGCAACCCCGCACCACCGATTGGAAAATTTTCCACAAGCTTAACCAAACACCCAACCCAAAACCTGTTCTGCAAAAAGCAACCGACCCAGAAATACGTGCCATTGTCGAGTTTATTTACAACCTGACTTTAGGCATCGTGCCCCTCTATAAATACGAGAAAAGCTTTCTGGAACCGCATTTAACAACTTTGCAACAGTTGGCTAGGCTACGCGATTACGTGAAGGCTAGAAACACGCTTTTACTCCACGACAAACTTGTAAAGTTTATCGCAACCCCCGCTTTGGCTTACGAAAATGACAACTTCGGCAAAGAATTTTAAAAAAATGGTGCTGGTACCGTACGTCCAACAAAACGACACCCCACAGCAAGGCGACGGCTATGCACAAACGCCTCGCGAGCAAATTGTCGAGCAAGCAAAAGAACCAACGACAAGGGGCATCCGAGCAAGAACACCCAAAGACACATGAATCCCAATTTACAACAAGTTTCTAAACTACTTGACGCAACTTATCCAGGAAATTCGAAAGTATGACCCCTTCCCGCTGCAGACTTTAAAAATGCCCCTACCTGAAGAGGTACAACCTCCAGAAACCGCAAGGCAAAAGACAGAACGTGTTACCAGGAGACCTCCACGTAAGCAAGAAAATCCCTACCAAAAAACGTTCCAACTCTTGTCGAAACATGTCAAGACGGATAGCAAGAATCGCGTCTTGGATACGACAGGGAAAACGATTGAAGGTAGTAACTTGTTTGAAATTGCACGGGTCGCTGCCAGTGACACAAAGCAACCCTTTCCCCTAGGCTACGAGACCGGCTACGAACAAGTTCAGGCAAAGACACCTCGACTTGCGAAACTGTTGAACGAACCACCGTACACTCCACGCAGAATTCAAAGCATACATAAGGAAGTTTTTCCCACTAGCCCCGCAACTAGCCCCGCTACAAGTACGACACAGTTGTCAGAGGGTATTCCACACACCGACATTGTCAAACGTGTTAGACAACTACAAAACGACATAATAGAAAAACGCAATTTAAAACACGAAATTTGGGAAGACGACAATGAAAGCCAAACAGGTAGTGGCACCAGGAAAAGGTTCAAAGTCGCAAAGTACAACTAAAATACTGAACCAGCTGTACACAAACCCTGATTCGAACATTGCGTTTACCTCAAGGAACAATCTCGTCGCGGCCAGCAAACAGTACGGCATTACAAAAGCTCAAGTAGACCGCTACCTACAAAAGAAGAACTCTTACGTTCTACACCGTAAAGTTTTGCACAAATTTCCCAGGAAAAAGTTTATCGGCACCAGCCTTAATAGCCACCATGTGGCTGATTTGGCCGATTTTCAGAAACTCAACAATACAACGGGAGGGCAGCGCTACATTTTGGTGGTCGTGGACTTGTTTTCGAGAAAAACCTTTGCAAAACCGCTGTTAAACAAAAAACCGCAAAGCGTACGACGAAGGTTTGAGCAAATTTACCGAGAAATCGGCGATGCACCCTACTTTTTGACCACAGACCA